TCGCTCGAGCTGGTGTTTCGTGAACAAATGATCGCCGGTAACGCCTTTATGACTGTTGAGATAGTTTAATACCCTGCTTAAACAGGGAAACCAATTGAGGTGTACCTTTTCATCCGGGTAAGGAGACTTCTCTTCTTTCCTCACAATGGGTTCAGGACTTGTTTTGATGAAAACATTTGGTTCGCTGTAAGATGTATCGCTCACTGATGACCTTACTGAATCATCGTCTATGTTAAAAAAATAAATAAACAAACAAACAATGAAACAAAGTTAAGTATAGTGACATGTTTGGCGAATAAAGGGGGCACATAGCGTTGGAGATGAATAAAATAGCGTTGGAAACGAATAATTATAACGCAAATTGCAATCAGCAGACAAAGAGTAATTTCTTCCCGAACTTTGGTGTCTGAGAAAACCCTAATTACAACTTGAACGCCGAAGAAAACGTCACTCCTCGCTCCTTCAAATCACTTTTAAAAATTCGTTGGGTTTTCCGAGTCAAATGTGTCGAAATTCGTTGAGAAGCGTTCAAGCTTAATAACGAATTAAATGTTTATATATGAGCCTCATGTCTTCACATTCCCCAGAAAAGTTGTAAAATACACGAGTGTGTCGTTCTCATTGCTTTGGCCGACGTCATGGCTACTTGAATTCCTTAGAACTTTTAGTGATAACAACAAATCAAAGCAGTGGGGAGGGTAGGGGAGAAAAAATGCCCATAAAGATAGCGCTGAGGGAAGAAGCGAAGCCGGGGCTGCCGTACGTGGGACGTCCCAGTTCCCGTCCAGACCAAAACCGGCTAGCGCCGGGCGCATGGTCCCGTAAATACACTACTGGATTGCTTATTATAATTAGGGCCGGATAATGAGGATTGTAGTTTACTGTTGAATTGTTAGTTCATTATATACCTGTTCACGCTCATTAACGTTTGAGCTATATACTAAGTCATTAGAGGTTACTCAGTACATTGTTATCATTACTATGATTACTGTCTCATAATTAGTTTTATTATCATCATTATCGGTTATTATTATTATCAATATCATCATAATGATCATTATCATTAGCTTATCATTACAATGATCATTATCATTATCATTATAATCATCATCATCACGACCAACATCATTATTGTTATTTCTAAATTGAGACGGTCCAGTTTCACAGCATTAGTGAAGCCCAGAATGGGATCAGTACTTTATGCCAAACTTATGGCTGTGGCATAAAAAAGGAAGGGTTCGCTTTGGCTGGAAGAATTCCCCCGTAAAAATCTCTGTAGGCGAGTGATGACCCCGAAAGCTAAAGTTACCAATGCAAGGAGCCCAATCGTACAGGAGCGTTCATCGACAACTTGAGAGTGTCACAGCGCATTAGATATTCAGAATTTTAGATTTCTTTTCCCAAAAAAATTCCTTGTGTTCACAACCGTCGGTATAATCCACTATGGCAATTGATCGTCTAAGCTTCTTGGTTCTTAGTTCCGAATTTCTTGAACTCGCTTCACGCAGCATTAATCTCATCCGCCATTGCTGGAAATCCAACTCCGCTCTGATTGGCTAAGAGTAATTTTGGCGCGAAAGATAAATCTATAAATCTATAAATCTATAAATAGCCTGAAGACCTGATATGCTGTGACCCAGATCTTAAAAGAAAAATAATCCTTCCATATACTCTTGGGCGCCTTTCATTTCTTATTTACAATATTTTTTTGTTTTTTTACAGTTGATACCTGGTATTTCATTTCTCTCGCCGTTTATAAACATCCATTTAGTCTCGAAGCTTTTACTGTCCCTTTTTTTCCTTTGTCTTTCTTTAAACGAAGCTCTGTCTTCTCTGCTTCTCAAATCTTCTTCGCTCTGTCGCCGGTAAATATCCCCACTTCGCCTTCTTTCCGCTTGTTTCAGTTTCCATCTCTCCCTTTCCTCGCGCCGTCTTTGTTCCTCCTCTAGTCTCGCTCTCTCCTCTTCTTCAATTCTCTTTCGTTCGATGGCATCTAAGCGTTTCTTTTCGTCTTCTTCAAATCTCTTCCGATCAATACTCAGACGTTTCTTTTTCTTGCTCTCTATCTCTTTCTGTCTTTCCTCCTCTTCTTTTTTCTTCTTTTCCTCCATTGTTCGTCGCCATATCTGTTCCTCTTCTTCTCTTTTTTTTCTATCTTCTTCCATGCGTTGTCTTTTCCCTTCAAGAGACAGCCTCCGCCGCCTTTCCTCTTCCTGGCGCTTGCGATCAGCTTCTTCTTGTTTTTGTCTCTCTCCTGCCTCCCGCTTCAATCTCATCTCCTCTAGATACTTTTGTCGCTCCTCCTCCTCCTGTTTTTGCCTTTTGTCTTCCTCTTGTCTCAGTCTTTCTTCTTCCTCTCTTCTCTTTTTTTCGACTTCCTCCTTTCGTTTTCTTTCCTCTTCTTCCCTAAGCAAACGATCCTGTTCTATTTTCTGCATTCTCCATTGGAGCCTTCTTTTCTCTTCCTCAATAGCTGCTTCCCTATTTGGCGCAAGCGTAATGGTGGTTCTAGATATACGTGTAACGGTTTCAGGCTCTTCCCTCCTTTTGACACGTAACTCTGATTTAAACTCTCTTTCTGCTTCTTCCTGAGCGTGTTCGCTTTCTTGAAGCTTCTTCCTTTCTTCTTCGAGGCGTTTGCGCTCTTCGTCCTTGAACTTCTTCAAGTCTTCTTCGATCTTTCGAGGTGTTTCCACTGCTTTTATCCAGCCCTCTTCCTTCTTCTTTTTCTCCTCCTGTCGATTTTTAGCATTGTTCTCCTTATCGTTTTCTAGCGTGGACAGATCAACGTTAGTAACTACAACATTAACCCTCTTATTCCACCTCTCTTCTCTCTCTCTTTTAAGCTCCTCGAGTTTTCTCATTTCCTCTTCCATGCGTTTCTTTCTTTCCTCCTCCCGTTTCTTTCGTTCTTCTTCTCGGTTTTTCATAAGCTCTTCCTCCCGTTTACGCCGGTCTTCCGCCCGTTTTCTCCTTCCTTCCTCTAACACAGCCTCCAGTTCCCTATCTCGCCTTTTTCTTTCCTCTTCCCACTTTTTATGTTCTTCTTCCCATTTAAGTCTCTCTTCTTCTCGCTTCTTCCTTAGCTCTTCATCTCTTTTTCGTCTCTCTTCCTCTTTCTTTCTTCGCGCATTTTCTTCTTCCATCCGTTTTTGTTCCTTTTCTTCCCTTCTGCGTTTTTCGTCTTCCTCAAGAATGGCTGAGATCGCATCCATTCGTCGACGATGCTCCTCTTCTATTCTCGAGTACTCAGGACTTTCTATTCTCTCTTGCTCTTCTTCTGGTCGTTCTCGATGCTCAGTTTGATCTTCTCCGTCTGGTTTTTCACGTTGCTGCATCACCCGTTCTTCGTCCAGAACTAATTTTACTCTCGCCTCGGCTTCCATACGCTCTTTATCCATGTCGTCTTTGGATGACCTTCTCTTGCCTTCTTCTTGCTCGATTATGATCTGAATTTCTTCCAGTCTATTTTCCTGTTCTTCTTCTTTTCGCTGCCGTTCTTTCGCTTCTCTTATGATCTTTTTCTCCTGCTCCTTCAGTGAGTATTCATCTTGTTCGGGTTCTTCATTTTCGTCAACATGTGTAGCGTCCGCTGGCACCGAAACGTCTGTAAACAAAGAGATTTGCATGAGCGCTCGTCACTGTTGAACAAAAGGAACGGAGTAAGACACCTGCTGCCACCAAGTGGAGGGAACCGAATCGTAACAACAAAAGAATAGTTATTTCTAATTTTCCGTCGGTTTTAATTCGAAAAACATTACAAGTTATATTTTCAAAGTACGAGCCTACTTCAAATATTGTGAAATACTGTTACATAAAATAAATCAGATACTTACAAAAATAAATAGCAGCGCTTAACCGCAAACGGCCTTAGAAGTTAGACTGGTAGCCTACTGGGCAACTGGATTGTTTATCTTTTTAGACAAAACGCAAAAAGAAAGAAAGAAATTCATATTTGAATACGATGGCAAGTTTGTGGGGCAATACTCCCGCAGGTAACGGTATCATATTATAATGAATTCTGTTTTGGCTTTCCAAGTTTATTTTTTAGCTTTGTACACTGATCTAATCCGCAGCTTTTTAAAAATCTATCGCCGGGGTATCCTTCTTTTCATTTATGGTCTGTTATATATGTAGATTTGGCAAAAACACAAAACCGCAGTGGCTAGAAAAAAACGAGAAAAAAACATAACATTCTGATCATGTAAGACACAACTTTCATGCAGATTATTTATTTGATCCACACTTACCACTTTTAAAAGTGAATCTGTTCCATGTACCAAATAATAAAAGCGATTAGAGGCGAACTCGCGTTTAAAGTGTTCAGAGAGCAAATAAGTGAATTACAATACAAATCATTAAGACTAATGCAAATGAGTCTGGCAGCTACAATGGCAAGGAAAATATTGATTATTTTACACGAATAATCACTGTGAAGAACCTGTCCATCTATAAAGTAAAATCTTGAATTAAATTTACATTTCTGCAAACTATATTGCGATTCCAGTTTGCATATTTTCTGAAGAGAAGCAAATCGTTGATGAGTGCTTGATAAAGTCTTTAAAAATACACAAGAAGGGAAAGTTAAAACGTTTTACGATTTTAAACATAATCGATAAAAGCGCTGGGAATGGATACATTAATTCTTAAATAGTGTTCCTTGTCAATATTTTTAAGTTACCACTTATTTTATGTGTATAAGATTTAAACCATGCAGTCAAAAAAATTTTAAGTTAGACCACTATTGTTAAGGTAAAACTGAACAAAATTTAAAATTATAATTTTATAATTTCCTGTACACAGATGTGCGATGTAGTTGAGCATTACCGGTTACCTCACAAATAAAGCCCCTCCTAACAAAATAGAATTTGTCTTTGAATGATATGCTTTTTGAGTTCTTAAATTCAGTGCAACTTATAAAGCCCAATTTAGAATTAGCTGGCAGCTTATAAGCTAGCCGAGGATCCTCTCTGTGCTCTTTTTGCGCTTGGCTTTGTTCGTTACTGTTTTCCATATTTTGGCAACTGAGTATGTAGAAACAAACATTACCTTAAATATTACTGGGTTCCAAAGCCGTATTTTCAAATATCATGCAGTGTACAAACTGTATTTAAAAAGTGCGTTTCCCAGTTGGTTTGTTTGCTTACTTGATTTCCGAACATGCAATTTTAATTGAACAGTTGGCTTTTAGTTGCGCATGCGTATCGACTCCAAAAGTTCTTTTTAAAAAAAAATTGCGAAAATTATTCCGACAATAAATACACGTTTTTAAGGATCGCAAAAATAAGTTCCCTCAAATCCCTCTTCGCCAAATTAAATTTTCGCATAAAATTTGCGGGGCACTCTTCACAAAAAACTGACTGATATGATGGCCTGAAGGTTTTGGCTAGGTAGAAGATGGATAACACACATAGAGACATTTCCAGTTGCTTCTAATTATAAAAACATGTTTTACCTGCTATAGTTAATTCACGTGTTATCTGGCCATCATCTTCACTTGTAGAAAACCATCTCTGGCAGGGAAATTCAACTGTTTCTCCTGTCTTCGGATCCTCAACAGTTACCTGAAAAGTACAACGGTACGAAAAGTAAATAAATAAACAAATAATAGGAGGAAGGCATGTGGTAAATAAAGGATCCAAGAATCTTAGGAATATCCAGGCAACTTGCCTTGTCCAAAAACCATGCTGCACCAAAACCAGTATTGTCATGTCCAATTCTTATCTTGTTTAGGCGCCCAAGATGCGTTGCACAAGTCAGTGTGAATGAGTCTTTTCTGCGAAAAACAAATGAAGGTGGATTAGTTATGGACGAAGTAAGACCGAAAGATTTACCTGGAAAATAACAACGGAATTACTCTCTCTTATTGTAACACTAAGCAACAACATTTGCATCAGAACAGAAATGAAACATAAAAAAAATATACATAAGCTTCACGCCGCATTACTCTAATAGAAGTGATACAAGAAACAGATGGTGAAATAAATCTGGTGGTACTACCTGCCCGCTTAGTTCCGAGTTATAGGCGCAGAGAAAAGAATATAAGCGCCTCTCTAAGAAAGTAGCTACTACCAACTTAAGTATCAAACTGTGGACATGTATTACCTCTCTTCATTGACGTTAACATTTTACCCTTGAACTTTGTATATTATTAGACTATATCAGTAATGTACCTTCTGGCATTTTAAATCTATTCAAGAGCCCATTGTGGCTCTTGATCTATTTCAAAAACACAAGTAGTTGTCATTCTTACAAAACAAGAGCATCGGCTTTAGGAAATTTCAGGTTAACAGTTCCGATCTAGAATTACTGATATAAATTGAATTCAGATGATACCTATATTGATACGCCCACCTTGATTGCAAAAGTTAATAAAGTTAGTAAAGTTAGCCAAAAAGGTCGAAAAATAAATTCTTGCTTATTAGTCTGTACTTTTACAATTCATTTGTTTAAATCTTTTTTTCTTTATTGTGTTATCTAGTCCTTATCCATATTACGATTTTTATTTCATTTCTTTGTAAATCATAAACTTTCCTTAGTTGGCCTTAGTCTTAACTTAATATTTTGCACTCACTCTCCCACCTCGAATAGCCTTGCTAGCTTCGGCCAGTGCTTCTGTAATATTATGTGCTTATTAATAAAGTTTGTTTGTTTGTTTGTTTTAGTTGCTTTGCAAAAGCGAAGATGAAAACAACGTTGCTGCACTTTATTTTTGGAACTCCCTGACATCGCACAATCTTTAGTTTTTCGTTGACAAATTATGACTAAATAATTTAACGAAACATTTCTATTGGTCAGTTAGTCCAACAACGCTAAAATGCTGTTAAGCGTTGCGCACAGTCAAGGCCAAAAAGTGTAACAAAGAACTTTTATGAGCCTTTTAAATCATTGCACTGCATTAACAAGGCCTGAACCAGTACTGTTCAATTCGACTGCACACAGATTTACGCATTCAAAATGTTCAGTGACTTTTCAATAGGCGCTACCCACAATTTAAAACAATTCGAAAGAGAAACGAAAGTTCTATTCGGGGTGAAAAAATTTCAATCGAGCAACTATTAATTTGCATGCATTTGTTTCGAGAAGTATGTGAAGAAAAAACAAATCGTATTGTTTAAATAATAAATTATGATTAAAAGGTAATCCCTTACTGTCCAGTTTCAAAATTGTTCTTGTTGTTGTCCAACTTTCTTTCACCGGAGTCACCATCTTCTCCAAATATGGTAATCAAGACGTTGGCATCGGTCCCAGCTCCCCACTTGTCGCCAGTGTAGATGTGAACCAAGTAATCGTGACCTAAAGTTACGACTTCAATTACTCAAATATATTTCGCAAATGAAGTAGAAGCCTTGTTTGCTTTCAGACATTACAGTTGTAAAAATGGTACGTTTGTCTTTACGTCCCAAAAATTTGACTTTTGAAAATAGAATTATTAAGGACGTCTTCGTTTTTCCTAATGATGAAATACTATGAGCATTCTTCTCCCTCAACACAATAAGAGATTACTAAGAGTTAAAGTTATAGTTTAATCATAAATTTAAAAGAAAACTTACATTTTTATAAACAAAATGACTCTATTATGTCATAAGGGACGGTTAACTGTATAGGACTTCACGTGACAAGAGCTGTCCCTTGAGTTTTTAAGAGTGACTCACCATACTTTCTGCAGCTAAAATTTACCTTTATCGACGATAATTTCTTGTGGCAGATGTTCCTGTTCCTTCACCGTCGGTTCTTCTTGTTCTGGTGGTGGTTCAACTTGTGTCTCGTCTTTTATTACCAAAATGACTTCTATACAAAGAAGGTAAGTTTTTGTTGCATATATGAATGACCAAAATCAGTGGTAACATAACCAATGCTTGGAACCTTTCTAATACACTCGATTTTTAAAGGAATAAAGCAAGGAGTTTTCCTTTTAGTACAGGATACTGCTCAGTCGAATACACGAAAAAAGCTTTGAGTTATAGTCCCACTGAGTGCCTAGACACGGTGCCAGAGAATGGTACTCACACGCTGGACAATTATATGTGAACGAATACTCACTCAATTGAAAGAATTCTGTAACGGTACCGGTGCACGAGTAAGCGTTGTGCACATGTTTTCTGTTGGTTGGGAGGAAATCCACTGCTCAGCACTCCCCGCTAAATTCACTTTTCAAAATAGCTTTTGACCGAGCGAAATGAAGAAAAATGCACATAGTAACCTGTCGTTTACTCAAGGTGCGAACACAAAACCATTTCGAACCATTTCCCTGGGTTTTGTGCTCCGGCACCAAGTGTGGACAGGCCCCTTGGGCAGCGTTCACATTGCGTTCACTCGGTGCCAGAGCACGGTGCTCGGTGGGCACTAATGTGAACACACCCTATTTTCACCCTATTTTTCAAATAGTTTCTGTTAGTCCTAAGACAATCCATTGCTTTGTACTGGCAGTTACTCTGACGTTTTAAAATGGCTTCTGACAAGGATACATGCAGCAAATGTCTACTCAGTTACATATAAGGTAAACAAGGTGTAAACCCAACAACGATACCAAGAAACCAAGTCTCGGGCAACCAGTGTGAAAAGTCCCTTAGATGTCGCTCTCTTTTTTCTAAAATTTACCTTTCTCAGTGGTAACTTCTTCAGGAATACTCTCCTGTGCTTCTTCAGAGGGTTCGTCTTTGTCTGGTTGCATTTCAACTTGTGCCTCCTCGGTTGGCTCCAACACTTTTTCTACAAGACAAAGGTACTTTATTAAGAGCCAGGGAAAAAAAAAGACCGAAATTATATCGAGATTGCTAATTAAGCTAGCTTTCGTTCTAAGCCTGTCGACTAGAGATAGACTTGACAGTTTCGAGCATTCTGCAATCAGCTTCCATTTTTTCTGGATTTTATTCTAGATTCAACAGTTTAATTATAGACCCAAAAGAAGGAAGCCATGAAGAGATGCTTATTTAGAGATATCATGCAGTCTATAAACGGTATTTAAAAAGTACGTTTCCCGGTTGGTTTGTTTGTTTAATTGATTGTTTTCTGAACATGCAACTTTAATTGAACAGTTGGCTTTCAGTTACGTATTCGTATCATCTCCAACAGTTGTCAGTTTTAAAAATTGCTAAAATTATTCCAAAAACAAAAACACGTTTTAACGATCGCAAAAAAGGTTCCACAAATGCCCTTTCGCCAAATTAAATTTTCGCACAAACTTTGTGCGGCAGTCTTCACAATAAACTGAGGGATAACGTAGAGATATTTTCAGTTCTTTTTAATTATAAGCATTCGATGCAACATATTTTACCTGTTCTAGTTAATTCACGTGTTATCTGTCCATCATCTTCACTTGTAGAAAACCATCTCTGGCAGGAAAATTCAACTGTGTCTCCTGTCTTCGGATCCTCAACAGTTACCTAAAAAGTACAACGGTATGGAAAGTAAATAAGTAAACAAATAATAGGAGAGAGGTATTTAGTAAATAAAGGATCCAAGAATATTAGGAATATCCAGGCAACTTGCCTTGTCTAAAAACCATGCTGCACCAAAACCAGTATTGTCATGTCCAATTCTTATCTTGTTTATGCGCCCAAGATGCGTTGCACAACTCAGTGTGAATGAGTCTTTTCTGCGAAAAAACAAATAAAGGTGGACGATAAGACTAATAAATTTAGCTGTTAGAAAATAACTACGGAATTCCTCTCTCTTATTGTAACGCCAAGTAACAACATTTAGATCCGAGCAGACTTATATGAAACATATTAAATAAAATATACCGCTTTACTCCACATTACTCTGCAAGGGGTAATACAAGAAGCGCATGAGCATCAACCTCTTACAAGAACGTCTGGTGGGACTACCTCTCCGCTAAGTTCGGAGTGTTTGAAATGGAAATAAGCACATATTAGTTCTAACCCATAGTTAGTAGAGCAGACTGGTTATGAAAACCGGCAAAGAGCAAAGATGAAAACGACAGCGCTGCACTTTATGTTCGGGAAACTCCCTGATCTGGCACAATCTTTGCTTTTCGTTTACAAATTATGACTAAGTAAGTTAAGAGGACCTTTCCATTGGTCAGTTGGTCCAAATGGTCGAAATGCAACCTCGTTCCCAGGGTTCTCTCCTACCCGGCCTTCGAGGTTGGTCGAAATGCTGTTGAATGTTGCGCACGCTCAATGCCAAAGAGGCTAACAAAATTGACCTTTAACAAAGCGCTTTATCAGCTTTATAGCCACTGCACTGCATTGACAAGGCTTGAACGAATACTGTTCAATTCGACGGCGTTTGCTACCTTCTTAGAGAGGACACGGATTTACGCATTTGACTGATGTTCAGTTAAGGTACTAACCAAAATTCAAAGCAATTCCGAAAAGGAACGAAAGTTCCATTCGGGGCGAGTGGTTTCGATCGAGTACATTTGTTTCGAAAAGTGCGTAAAGAAAACCCAAATTTTGTTGTCTAAATCATAAATTAAAGATCAAAAGGTAATTCCTTACTGTCCAGTTTCAAAGTTGTTCTTGTTGTTGTCCAACTTTCTCTCGCCAGAGTCACCATCTTCTCCAAATATGGTAATCATGACGTTGGCATCGGTCCCAGCTCCCCACTTGTCACCGGTGTATATGTTAACCAAGTAATCGTGACCTAAAGTGAATACATTTCACAAATGAATTAGAGGCGTCGTTCGCTTCTAGACATTACTAGAACGTGCATTTGCCTTTACGTCTCATAAATCCGCATTTAAGAATCATTTAATTCTTATATACGGTAAGACTGCATTTTCTCTTTCGACCACGTTAGAATCACCATCCCATATTGGCAGAGTGAGAGATTTTCTTTTCCATTTTTTCTGGAAAGATAGTCTCATTCAAATACCTTTTGCGTCTGAGAAATCTTAATACTAGTGGTAATCTGTACCCTCGACCTTTAAACATTTTTCTCCTTTTTACATTCAAGTTTAAAAGCTATGTTATGGCAATCACATTCTAACGATTTGAAATAATCAAAGGATGGAGAAACCATAAGCATCCCCAGGCGCTTGCTATTTTCTCTTGCTTTTGGAAAATATTCTTTTTGTTTTCTCAAACATAAAAACTTGTGGTATTTTAACAAGGGTAAAGACATCTGTTCAAATGACAAATATATTGGAAGGTACATTTCGGGCAAGGACAACAGTTTGGGCAATGAAAGGCGCAGGTTGGGCCCACTTCTTACTTATAAATTTTAAAAATAAAATTTCATGTATTGTTATAAACAAAGCGGCACGGTATTGTCATGAAAATCAGTTAACTGTACAGGGTTTCACGCGACAAGAGCTGTCGCTTGTGTTGGCTCGTTCAGATTTCTATAGCACCACTTGTGCTAGTTTTTGTAGCTAAACATTACCTTTATCGATGATATTTTCTTGTGGCAAATTTTCCTCTTCCTTTACTGCCGTCTGTTCCTCTTTTTCTGGTGGTGCTTCAATCTGTATCTCGTCTGTTTTCACCACAACTTCCTCTGTTTCTGTAAAAAGAAGGCAAATTTTTAATGCATGTGTGGATGACCAAAATCAGTGGCAACAAGCAAAAATTAAAAACCTTCGTGAACAATGGATGTTTGGGTGGAATAAAACGGGGAACTTTCGTGGTAACTTTCTGCAGCGAAAATTTACCTTTATTGATGATGATTACTGGAGTCAAATTTTCCTCTTCCTTTACCGTCGGTTCCTCTTTTTCTGGCGGTGATTCAATCTTTATCTCGTCTGTTTTCACCAACACTTCCTCTATAAAAAAGAAGGCAAATTTTTATTGCACATGTGAATGACCAAAGGCAGCGGCAACAAGCAAAAGTAAAAATCGTCTAATAATGTTTGGGCTGAATAAAGCAGAAAGTTTATATAGTGAGTTAATTTATGCCGCGAAAAATTACCTTTATCGATGACTATTTCTTGCGGCAAATTTTCCAGTTCCGTCACTGTCGGTTCTTCTTGTTCTGGCGGTGGTTTAATCTGTATCTCGTCTGTTTTCACCACAACTTCCTCTATAAAACAAAGGTAAATTTTTATTGCATATGTGGATGACCAACATCAGTGGCATGAACAAGCAATAATGAAAACCCTTCTATAACAATGGATGTTTGGGAGGAGTAAAGCAAGGAGCTTATTGGCTCTCAGTATTATACTCCGCATTGGAATACGCGAGAGTAGCCTTATTTACAGTTCATACTTGGTGCCTGACCACGGTGCCAGAGAACGGTACTCATTGAGCACTAATGTGAACACACCCTTATTTCAAGTACACCCGCTCCAGATAGTTCCCAGCCACTTATGCTTGGGCACCAAGTGTGGACAGCCAGCTTGAGCAACGTTCACACTCGGTGCTGGGGCACGGTACTCGCTGGCGTCTGACAAGGCGAAATATAAGGTAAACAAGGTGTGAACACAACATGGGTATTTCATGAAGAGCCGTGACGAAACAAGACCGAAATTATATCGAGATTTGCTGATTAAGCTAGCTAGCTTTCTGCGCTTGTCCATGAGAGATAGACAAAAACGTTTCGAGAGTTTTGCAGTCCGTTGCATTTTTTTTCTGTAGTTAACACTAAAATCACTAAACAGTTTGTTTTTAGATTCCAAGATAACTTAAGCTGAAGGCATGACGAGATACTTTGCCTCATCGACATCAAGGCGGACTGACTGAAACTCATCACCTTACGCGCGACGCTTGTATACCAAAACCCAATACTAATTAACAAAGAAATGCAAAAACGTTGAGTTAATAGATGGGAAAAAGAAGTATGATGTCTGATTTGCGACCGTACTAGCTCAACGAGTTCAGCGCCTACTGTATCCATTGCTCATACCAGATTCAAGAAAAAATCATTCTCTCAAACTCTCGCTCTTGGTGACTCCTGGTTTCATTTTGGAAGGGTGGCTAATATAATGGACTATGTTTTCCTTTCGCCATAGCCAGCTCCAGGCTCCACGATAGAAGTGAACAGAAGTCGTGGAAAGTGACGCGGAAAACGCGCGGGAGCTGGGGAGAGAGACACGTATTTTTTTTTTCCCGCCACTAGCCCCTTCCCAAGATCTTGCGCGTGTTATTTTCGCTAGGTCTGTTTTGTTTTCGTGATTTCCCTACTATCTAAGAGCCTGGCACAGCATACTTTCGCCAAATCTACCTTTCTCATCAGTTATATCGGTTGGGACATTCTCTTGTTCTTTGCCAGAGGATCCATCCTCGTCTGGTTGTGGTTCGACTTGTCCCACGTCTTTTATTTTCAAAACTACAGTTTGCTGGCCTATAAACCAAGAGAATTTTGTTTATATTTAACACTACCGAAAACAAAAGCTTCGTGGGTAGAACATAGTAAAATTTGCAGACACTCACAATGTAATCAGCGTTAGGCCTGTTCAAACCTTGCATTTTATATTATGCCGAATCCAATGCAAGTGGGCGAGAACCATAGATTTTCCTTATTTTAACAATATGATCGGCATATGTCAAAAACGACGTTCGAGACAGGCCTTAGACGACATAAGCTAACTCTTGCGATCGGCATTACACGCGTTTCCGAACAGGACAAGTCTACCTTGTTATGGCGAGTTACCTTCACGAGCAAAGATAGTATCCGAGAATTTTTTAAGAGCAAATGTTTCTCGTTGCAATTTTATTAGCTGAAACAGGCATAAAATAGCAAATGATTTTCGGTTTACATCTGAGATTCATTCTGTTCTCACACACTTCAATATTACATTTCATTTCACAATTTGATTCGTGGCACTGCATTGCATTTACCTGGAACAGCAGTTTTGTCATCGTTTTTGACTTCTTCTTCTGGCCTAATCAAATCACGAATTATCTTTCCATCATCTTCACTTGTGGCAAACCATCTCTGGCATGGAAATTCAACTGTTTCTCCTGTCTTAGAGTCTTCGATGACAACCTACAGGAAAGGTACACAAGCACTTATGAAAAGTCCTTCCTCGCTTGGATAATCTTATACATAAGACGCATTGTCCATCTGACATGGACAAGCATTCGTTATACTTAGGTGCCTTAACATCTCTCAGTCGCAGTTTGCACAAACTACTCCGGCCTGACAGATAAATGTTCCTCTATTTACGAAGGGTGTGTAAAAGTTTTACCTTGTCTAAAAACCATGCTGCGCCGAAACCAGTGTTGTCATGTCCAATTCTGATCTTGGTTAGTCGTCCGAGGGACGTTGCACATGACACTGGGAAAGAATCCTTCCTGAAATGGAAAAATAAATAAACAGAATTACTCCCTTAAGGTTTTAATTATTTTTTAGCTTGTTGAAGGAGATCGGGCTTAGTAACAATGCTAGGTGTAGAAATAGGACGGCTTGATCAATAATGTCAAATTATCAAACTGCAGTGCCAGTTGATAATAAAAAAAATGTGATTTCTTACTGTCCATTTTCAAAGTTGTTGCTGTCATTGTCCAATCTCCTCTCGCCTGAGTCACCTTCTTCTCCAAATATGGTAATCATGACGTTAGCATCGGTCCCAGCTCCCCACTTATCACCAGTGTATATGTGAGCGATGTAATCATGACCTAATAATGAATGGAAAAACGTCACAGTGCTGTTCCCTTATACAAGACCTATGTATGTACACGTTCGAAAGGTAGAGGTACCTTAAGATCAAGTGAATCGTTTCGTTTTTGTTTTCTTATTTTTTTACCTGTAACAGGAGATGTCTTCTCATCATCTACGACTAGCACATCTGCTCTGATCAATTCACGAGTAATCTGTCCATCATCATCTCTTGTGGAAAACCACCGCTGGCATGGGAATTCAACGGTTTCTGCCGTCTTGGGATCTTCAACAGCAACCTGCAAAAAAAGTTTCCTTCATTTACTGGAAAAATATTTAACATGAAAAATACCAGGACAAAGAGTTTCACGACGCAGTTTCCTTATCTGAAATTTTCACTTGGATTAACAGTTCGTAAACTGTTAAAAAATAGGAGACTTTAGATACATGCAATACAACTTAATATTGTAAAGACTGGAGGAGTTTTTGATGATCCTGATTCATAAAAGACCTTTTACACATGGGAAAAAAGAGCGTTAGAGCTGTATATATCTTTATTTGATATAGCAACACGTAGCGGAGTCATTGCGAAACCATTCACAAAGTTGTGCTCCGTTTTTTACATATCGTGGATAGAGAAAAGTGAGGAATTAGTTTTCTTGTCAGAATTCTGTGTCGATGTTAAAGAACCGCTGTATTACACATGAATCATTGTAATTCGTTTACCCATGAAGCACTAAGGAGTTCTTACGCATACGTTTAAACGTGGCCGTGAGTTTCAAATCGAACTAGAATTAAGAAGTTTCGGTTCTTGAAGGGAGTAGGGGGGGGGGGAATCGGATTACCCGCAGGAAAACCTCTTGCAGCAAAGGAGAGAACCAACAACAAACTCAACCCACATAGGCGTCAACGCCAGGATCGAACCTGGGCCACATAGGTGAGAGGAGAGTGCTCTCACCACTGCGACTGCACCACCCTTGCTTTCCATCTGTGATGGACAGGAGATTGAAGGAAGGGAGTGAGCAGAGAAGGAACAGATAACACGCTCACCAGCAGAGCGACAACCCTAAGAGTTTTCTTGTAGTCTATGATAAGATACGGTTTACTTAGTCTTACTCAACATGCCACAAAAACGAAAAAGACGTCACTTACGTTTCTCACCAAAGGTCTCTAATAATGATTTTACACTTTTTTATACTACTGCATGAAAAATTACTGCAATTTGATTGGCTTAGAGCAGTGGTTTTTCAGCTTAATTTGAAATACCTACATGTGAAAATTACAAACCTTTTGTGGGTAGTAGTATAAACAAATAATAGCACGATTTGTACGTCATATTTGGCATAAATACCACTCGTGATATTTCAAAATTTTCTCAAATTTCACGCGCCAAACGGCTCGTGAAATTACGTATAACAATTTTGAAATATCACTCGTGGTATTTATGCCAAATATCACTACAAATCATGCTATTACCTATACAAATAAAAACCATGCGACTAACCTTGTCTAAAAACCACGCTGCACCAAAACCAGTGTTGTCATGTCCAATTCTGACCTTGGTCAGTCGCCCAAGGGACGTTGCACAAGTCAGTGTAAAGGAATCTTTCCTAAAAAGAAATATTATAATGTAAATGAGTGTATCAATGAAAATAATTAATTAACTTTACAACAGAAGTTTTGGGTGCTTAAAATTTTTAATGTTGCAAGGTAATCAGCAAACTGATTCAATGCCGCAAGTTTCATTTCCTGACTAATTACTATAATGATGAAAAAGGCACTTTTATTTATAATATTTTTAAAAGTAACTCATATTCTCACAGAAGAAACCTTGTTAAAGAATACAGACATTGATCCCTTACTGTCCAGTTTCAAAGTTGTTCTTGTTGTTGTCCAACTTTCTCTCGCCAGAGTCACCATCTTCTCCAAATATGGTAATCATGACGTTAGCATCGGTCCCAGCTCCCCACTTGTCACCAGTGTAGATGTGAACGAGGTAATCGTGATCTAAAAAGGTCCGGTTTAACGATATATCATGAGGATCCAAATGTATGACTTACTGGTCAGTAAATATTTCGAATATACGCAGGTAGATAAGCGTCTTAAACCCTACTAAGTCACTGTGGCTGTTTCAGTCCAATGGAACTCTTAGAACTCACAGAGATGCATGTAGCCAGCGCAATAAGTGTGGCAAAACAACTGCTTGTAGGTGAGCCATAATCAAGACCCAGGCTGTTCCAGCGGGAACGGCACGAAAATTATAGTGGACAGGGAATTTTTTAAGTGAAGTAGAGAAGAGAGAACGCCTGTGGGACTGGTCTCCAAACGTTAATTGTGCCCACTTAGCGCGCCTTGTCATCCTAGATCTTGAACAATTACAAAGTGAAGGAATAAAAATAGCCTGCGTGACGGGCCTTTAAAAAGGGAAACGTAAGGAGGAATTCGGGCGGGAGAGAGGCACGCGAGGAGGGGACCCTCTCGCTCTCGCCCGCCCGAATTCCCCCACGGAATATAAAACGAAGAAATCGCAAAGTTACTTTTCGCAGCAAATAGCAAATTTCCCTATAAGATCAAATTAATGATAATACTGTCTTTCTCATATTCTAGTACCAGTCATCTCGGCATCGTTTTCATCTGCTCTCGTTAATTCACGTGTTATCTGCCCATCATCATCATTTGTAGAAAACCATCGTTGGCATGGAAATTCAACTGTCTCTCCTGACTTGAGATCTTCGACAATCACCTAAAAAAAAACCAGGAAGTTACAAACTGATTGTAAAAAGGTAGTATAAAAAAGTGAAATGGTTTAATCTTAATATCACGTCTTGAACAGAGACGAGCAAAGTAATCTGAACTGTCCAAGGCACAATGTGATATAAAACTAGTTATTATAAGTACCCCGGATACCATAACTATGTAGAAACGATAAGCACTTAGACTGACTAGGGAAAATAGTTCATACACAGTTATTGTTGTTGAATTTAGGACGTTTTCAGAAGGAGAGGTTTGAAATTCTGAGGCAGCACAGACGACGTTAATTCCGAGGAGTTACTTCGATATAAGTGAAATTCACACCAATTACCTTGTCTAAAAACCATGCTGCACCAAAACCAGTGTTGTCATGTCCAATTCTGATCTTGGTTAGTCGCCCAAGGGATGCTGTGCAGTTAACTGGGAAGGAATCTTTCCTGAAAAACACAGTGAGACAAATGTAAAAATATGAAGAATGATGGTTTATCCCAGCTTCCTTAATTGAAAAGCCTTTAAAAGAAGGGCAGGCCCTGTCCACACTAATGCCGTTCCAAAAAGAAAGAGTTTTCGTTGTCATAGAAAACGCATCGATCGATTCGCGTCCACACTACCGTTTTGGTGCGTTTTCGACTGTCCAGACTTAAACGTTCGAAAACGATAGAATTGGGCGTAGCGACGTAAGATGAACTCTATGCGCATGTTGCAAACACACGTCGGTCGTCGTTTTCACTTTGATGCTTTTTCGACCGTTCACGATAATACGATATGTATGCGTTTTCGTTTTGATCCCCTTTCAAGAGCGTTTTCAAATCGATGCGATGAAAACGCTCAGCGTATTTTCTATTAGTGTGGGTGGAAGGCCTAAAGCATTGAAAGTCTGCGTTTTCAAACGCTGTTACAATGATTAGTGCGGACGAAGTGCGGACGGGACCTCAGTTATAGATTGCTCTTCGAAGTGGATACCAGCCTGTCCTAGGCTCTCAGATGAGAAGTAGCAAAATGTAAAAGTACAGGAAAGGAAAACTACGAAGAATTTTAGTTCGCCCCGTTCTCCAACTTTCGCGGTGTCCTTCCATCTTATCGCAGCAGATTAAAGTTTTAAAGTTTTGTGAAGGGAATATTCGTTATATCTACTAGGTAATTACTTAATTTGAAATAATATTGTAATTAGATCGAGCAAATGTCAATTATCTAACTTAAATGGCAATATTAATGAGCCAGTTTGGAAATCTAGGGAAATCTAACTAGATTGCAAAAACGAAATTTTAGAGGAGACTGAGTTGTATACTGTAATACGGAACTCGATCAAAATGAAAATATGATGCCTTACTGTCCAGTTTCAAAGTTGTTCTTCTCATTGTCCAACTTCTTCTCGCCAGAGTCACCTTCTTTTCCAAATATGGTAATCATCACATTTGCATCGGTCCCAGATCCCCACTTATTGCCGGTATATATGTGAACCATATAATCATGACCTTGGATACGGTTAAAAAAAACAAAGACAAATTAGTGCATATTTCCCAATCCTTCAACAGCCCGTACGCACACTTTGTTTGTTTTCCAAGGTTCCATCTAGTATTCCAAAAATATGACAATAATGAAAAATAGTGAGTACGTACCCCAACCCCACCCCCCGCTTTGGGCTTCCCTCTCCCCAACTTCCTAGTTGCGGAGAAGAGAGAGGAGGCTGCAAAAGGCAACAGCGCAAGACGGTTCGGATCACGTGACCATTCCAGCCGAACGAATATTTCTGGCAGTGGCAGAGTTGGGTAATGGTGGTATTGGAATCCGCTTACCATAAACTGCTTTTGATTTCAAGTACCGCGGTTTAGTAAACCCAAGCTTAATGTTACAAACTGTGGCTGAAATTACACAATTTTCTTTAATGTTTCATCCGGCAGTCAGTGTCACAGGCGACTCGAGCTCTCCTTACAGGTGAGTCGAGCCTATGAGAAACTCGTGCGAGTTAAGGTCATTTGAAAAACTATTAGGTTCCTGCATACTAAATACTGCTAAGACAACTGTTCGGAATAGAATGTGAAATACAAAAATGGGTAAAAAAAATCTTCTTTGAATATTGATATTATCAGCAATTACCTTCCTCTTCAGTTGTCTTTTTTGAAGCGTTTGCCTCTTCATTCAGACCGGTTTCGCCATTTTCATCAACTTGTGTTTCATATGTCGTCACCATGACTTTATCTATGAGAGAAACAGATTTCTTTTAGAGTGAGGGCAAACATTCGTTAATGGTGGAAAATAGAGTAGTTATGAGGAAACTCGTTAACGTCAAAAACGCCTCCCGTAACACTTATTATTAGGGAGCTTCAGCAACGACGACGGAGACGGCAACGAGAACGGCAAAAAAGCAATAAGTTTGGATCAGCAAAACAACAACTTAGCACGTGCATCACGCTTTTTTGTACATTTCTCTGCCGCTGTTGCACGACTACAACGTGAAAGTGCCTAATGTCATGGTTTGTCGAGGACGGGACAACAAGACAACAACTTTCTTTTCCCTTTCCTGGACTTTGATACAGTCCTTTAGAATGCACTTCCAATAAAATTTGCCAACATTTGACGAATTAAACGAGATGGAATAAGTGCAATTAAGTTTGAGCCAGCGCAAATTCACTTTTAAAGTGACGTTTTCGTAGCCGTCACCGTCGAGGTTGCGTATGATAAGCTCCCTAATATTTTTTGTTGGCTACTTTACTTACCTATAACAAATCCCCCTCCTTCGTCTGATCCAAGGTGACCTATCTTTTCTATAAAACAAAGAAGGAAGTGAGGAAGGGAATGGGGGGGGGGGGGAGATCTCCCGTGGGGTATTCCCTATAAAGATGGGTTGCTCGCCAGAAAATTCCAAACACTAAACGCTAAAAAGCACCAAAAACTTGCTTCATGGGGATGACTATAAAAGATGACTAATTTAACTTAATCCCTGAAGTGGTAGCAAAACATCGGTTAAACCAACAACGAATAGTTCTCATCACTTTTAGGTCGCCCCTTAGGATAAGCAGTCAAGGCAGTGCCATACCACAGGTAACAATTGCAACAATTGGAAATTAAACCTGGGCGTAGCTCTAAATTGCATGACAGCATCTTGTCGTTTGCTATAACCCTCTGAAATGTATTTCGGCAGAATAATCTCTACTGTTACCTGGACTACAATAAAACGACATTTGTGAACGATATTCTGTTATCTTGCAAGGTGTTGTACACAGCTCTTAAGGAAATAAATATAGATTCAATGGACAAGTTCATTTTCGTCTTCCCTTTTTCAAATAACTTAGCAGATCAGTGTACAGCGTCCAAAGACGAAGAAATGCTGCGAGCGAAAAGAGTTCACAGATTTTCTTTTTCCGGTACCATCTAGTTTTTGTCTGCTGCGGTACTGAGACAGGTCATTTATTTTAACAAAGCCTCGAAATTTACTAAAAGGTCAATTAGTTGCACTCTAGACGAGTTAGTTTGTGTCTCAAAATTCCAGCTTCGAACGCAGCTAAAATTGTGCTGTTCGCGAAAACAATACATTCAACAATAATATAATTGATCGATCCTTTTAACAAAGATGTAAAATACTATATCAATAAAATGTTTTCATTTGTCTTTCTGAGGAGAAATAAATAAAAGTAATATTCATCATTCAGGTGAATAAACCAATAACCGAGTCAAACGTCTTCTATTTATGCAAATGAACCCCTTCACTAGAACAATGGAGAAACAATTTTGATTACCATTTATTGCTTGTGACAACACAAATGATTGCATTGAGAATTTTGTTTGTGTGAAAAAAAAGCTCATGTCTCCACAATGGACTATGCGCTGGTAATGTTACAGTTACTCAACGAAAAATATTTCAAGAAGATACTCCCAGCACGACGAAATAATTGTCGAAATTTCAGTCACCAACTACTATTAAAACAAATTAAACTACCTCCAATGTACGTCTCTTGAGATTTACTCACGGATTAGAGTGGGTAAGCAAATTCAAACAGCCACGATAACTCTTTCCCTTTTTTTGTCACCGTTAAAGATAATAGAAGAAGTAAATTAGCTGTGAAGTTAAATTTGTATATTTCTGACATTAAGTGATGAATACCAGCAAAAGAGTACACATGTACTTCTTAATCTCCAGAAACCCTGGCCGATATACACGTGATTTGAATAACAACTAATGCAAATGTAAATAACTTTTTAACACTAAATTTGAGGAAAATGGTCGTGCTATACCTCCTGTATAAGAAGTGATATGTATAAATATTATTTGCAGGAAAAGACAGAAGTATAACAACTGCTGGCGAGCGACTCGTGTTGACGGACATGACACGGGTTGAAGAACAATCCGAGTCATCACGGTCCAAGCGACTTTTTTCTTTCTCAGTGAGCCCGATGTAGCATGCATCGCTTAAATTACCCAGCCACTTATAAAGATCGATCGTTTTGTCCGACGCAAAGCCCCAGCTGAGAGGCATCCGAAGTAAAACACTGAGAAATGAGGCCTTCAAGTCTAAGAAATAAACAGCTCAACCGCTTGAGCAATGATTTCATTGCAAAAATAATGCAACTACACTGCACAAAAATATCATGTGTTAAAACAGGACTAAGATGACCACGTTAGTTTTAAAGTACTTTCTGGCAAGATGTCTGCTCGTAGCTCAAACGTTTGATCGTAGTATTCTGATCATCGTAAATAAAACGAGTCGATCGAGAATGGACCTTTAGCGACTCGATACTACTAGGGGTTCTTATAACAATTTTCCTTACTTTAAAAAATCATCTAGTCCTTCGCCTTTCAAGTGCAACTGGGATCCCTGCACCTCCGAGGTGACTGGAAAATCAAACGCGTGCCGTTTGCTCTTACCTCCAATGTTCAACGGAGCTCCGTACAGCTCCACTCGCATGCACGGCCAGCAGTACCAATCAACAGGACAGAACCTCACGTAACGAATGATAAGCTCTTGCTCAAGATCTTTTCTCTGCACGCTGGCGTTATCTTTGTTTCCCGCGATGATCTGGAAAGTGGAGTACGACAAAAATCAGTGATCCCTGTCTACTTTAGTTATGGCGATCGATGTTTTATGTTGAGTTATTCCATGCATGCATATCCAGTTGTATTTTAAAATGGCAACAGAAACAATAGGCTTAGGTTTTAAACATTTAGCATTCCTTGTATGAATATGCAGTTTGTTATGAATATTAGCCACGTGATTTGTCATCAGAAACTCACAAGGCTAGTTGTAGGGGACAAAATCAAAGCAGCAATGTCGAGTGTCTTCCTTTGCTTTGTGCTATGCGTTTTATTTTTTCTTGTACTGTTGTATAATTGTACAATTGAAATTTGAAAAAGAATTTAGAATCAGCAAAGATATAGCCTGTTCCAGGCGTTCAGAAAGTGGGGAGCTGCATGAAGTAAAAATGGGGCGCGATCCCTCTCTACTTTTCCACGCTTTCTTTATCATTTTACTTCGCACTGCACTCCATACCTGGAAAAGGCTCCCAAAGATGAAGGCATGAAAGTGAGATCGTTTCGCCTGCGAATTCAGCCGTCGAAAGGCCTTATAATGGTTTTAGTACAAATATGTATATATCGACATCCAACTGCCATCCAAAACTGCACCTCTATTTTCTCATTTTTAGCGACTCTTTTGTGACTTTTAACAGAACGCAGGAGACAAATACGCATCAATAATTGCATTTCTTATTCAATTAAAAATTACAAGTCGCTAAATATGCTGAGAAAATACGAGGAAAGAGGCGCAATTTTGCAAGTCACTTTATAATGCGTTCCATTTTAGCTGGGAAAACAGCAACGCACAACCCGGAAGTACAGAAGGGGAGTTGGGGAAGGGGTTCTTGGTGATCTTAAGTCCCTCAGTCATTAGTTACCCAACCCTGTATTCCCTTACAAGGGTAGCCTCCCACGCAGGCGTTTTTAGGGGAGCTCGTATTTCGTCCCTCGAAATACCAGCTCCCCTAAAAAACGCATACGTGGAAGGCTATTACAGGGGCGACCGGTCAAACTCTTTTCTTTAAAGCTAGACGTTAGCAGTTTTGCTCGACGTTACGTTATATGCAACTGGACCCGACAAAAGTTTTTCCTTATCCTTCTGTGGCATGGGTTAGAATAAACAGATCCAAACTGAAGATTGTTTTTTGGGATTCGATTGTGAAATCCGGAAGATCCGGACTTCCCAGTCGATCGCAGTCCTAGAGGTCCATCTTACATTGTTCCCGTTCTCCTCATACGTTGTCCAGTTGGAGCTGTCTGTAGAGTACAGCAGTTTGTAACGCTTTACATAGTCTCTGTTTCCTCCTGGATTACCCTGAGTTGCAACTGCGCACAGCAAATGCAGGCTTCCAAGATCAACCTACCAAGATGAAAATCACGATCAGCGCAGAAAAAAAATTCATGTAAATCCATAGTGTTAAAAAGAAGATACACCATTAAACAAGTCGGAATAAAATTCAATTTGCCTCATGATATTTTATGCCCATCCCCGAGATTATCAATCGATATCCAAGAACGTAGCAAAGCTCGGAAAAGGTGCTAACGAAAGTCTAATGCTCTTCAAGCCATGGGGGTAATACCTTTGACCGGCGTCAAAGGAACCCATACACAACTTTATGCCATATTCGATTTAAAAAATTTACAAAACTCAAGTGGAACCACGAGTCGCAGGCGAGTGGTTTCTCTGCGAAGGTTTGAAGATATTGACTTTATTTCTATGGTTGTTAAAGGTATAGACCTTTCAAAGCTGATGTCGATTTGTTTTTTACAATAACATTCAACAGATTTTAACGTTGAATCAGTACATCGAATATTACGTTTCCTGCTTTTCTCTAACCTGTTGTATGGGATATGTGTGAAAATGCGCCTTTATCTCAGAGAGCTACACAAGTGGGGCAGCTTTAGTGTCAAATATTACTGGTTGTAAATAACAATCCTGCTTTAACTTTTGATGGAAAGCAAAGACGACCTTGACACCGTGAGACCATGTGGAAAAAGCAAAACTAAAAGCGGTCTTTACCACTAAAGACCATATGCAAAGCCAAGAAAAAGCAAAGCAACCTTAATCTCCACTAAAATCAGAACAAAAAATGACCAGTTCACTTAACCCCTGATTGTCCGACGTAAGAGGACATGCTGCATTGCTTGAAAGGGAGGCTAACATGATATCGACGTTTATCTTACCTGTAAGTAACAGCCATCGGCCTTACCAGTGCACCAGGATGCCGAGCCATTCAAACGGCCGAGATGTGGCGGAGCAGCGCTTGCAGAGGAGGAAGCAGTTATGTTTTCATCAGGGATTGTACCATTTTCCATTCCAAGAGGCTCGCCTCCTAAAACATTCGTGATTTTTTATACATCAGACGAACTACTCTACTATTGCCACTTTAATTGAAATGAAAGAAAACATTCAGGAAACCGAACTATCAACGACTCGATCTTTCAAGAGTAAATAGGTATCTTTTTTCATTAAGTGTTGTTCTGTAACTCCCTCACATAAATTGTGTATAAACAAATTTTCTCAAGAATTCCGAGAACTTTCATTTACTAAAGGGCTTCTGCGGTAAAAATTCTATATCTCCATTGAAATTAAGCTAAATCCTTCAGGGAAAAAGACACTTGCAAAGAGTTTTCCTCCTACCGGACCGTTCGACTTTTAATCGCGAAACACGTGACCCAAATTGGCCACGGGGTAAAGAAGCCTACAACCTTGGACAAAATAAATGGAAAACCTAGACCCCCCCTCCCCCCCAAATCAAGGATGGGAAAATGGCGCGTTTTTACCCTTCGCACGGCTTCATCCTTCATTTGGGGCTTGATTTGGGGGGATGGGGGCTTGCTGTTCCATTTTATTTTGTCCAAGATTGTAGTTACTGATTTGTTTGTCAATAGGCTCGTCAGTACCCCCGGGTTGATGTGTGTTTGCTTTAACAGGTGGTAAAGCTGCAGAAATAACATTATCTATTTGCGGAGTTAAATTACCCCACTTTAACAACTGATAACAGTTTTTAGTTCTAAAGAATTCAGTTAAGAATAAACTCGATTAAGAAGATACGCAAATGGAGGTGCGAACTGAATTCTTCCCCTTATTTTATCGCATAGAAAATGAAAGCTTTTCTCGAATTGCTTTCAAATATTTCCTGACAAATTTTTTAAGGAGTGCAAAACAAAACATGTTTACATCCGGCAGAAACCCCTATGGTATCTAACAAAAGATCCATGATTTGTGTAAATAAATTTGAGTCAATCTGTTACCGAGAATGCCTCAAAATACAAGTATGTTCGAATTTAACCAAAAGAAACATTTAATTCAAAACACCTAAACTATTAAATAAAATAGCAGAAAAAAAAAATAATAATATATAGCTTTTTTAATATTTTACAAATATCAACCAATGTACAAGAATCGAACTTTTCAATTAAGAGTATTAGAGCAATTTTTAAACTAAGTTCCATGCTTATAAACGTTGAATGAACAAATGCTCCTCAACCGCAATTCAATATACTGACAATGCTTTGATCAGGAAAGAAACTTTCGAATTAAAATTAACAAACCTGAGAAAAAATAAAAAATTAGATTTCAAGCTCTCAGAATTAGTTTTGTTTAGGCTCGTGTTACAAAAAATTATAATCAGTTGACGACTTTTTACTTTTTATTTCAACGCAATGGGAAATTTCCTATTAGTCGCCTGTCAGTACTTAACAGTCTGAGGTTCGACTTAAATTTCAAGCCACCAAGAAAAGGGTTAATTGTCATGTTTCCAGTGGGTACAGGAAGGATAACTAATCAAACATCCGTTATAGTTATACCTCTTAAATTACTCGATGCCAAAATAACGCGAAATGGCCCGAAAGAAGCGAAAAGAGCGTTGACTTTTCGACGAAACTTCAAACCCAAACCTAACACACACTAATATAACGCTATAATTATACATTGCTCCTAGCGAAGCTAGGCTATGCTGTTTTTATATCGTAAAGCTATATAGAGAATAATTTCTAATGATCGTATTCTTTTATTTACTAATCTGTAGAGAAAATTTACTCCGCACCTGGAACAGTTGTAATGGTGTAGGAAGTCGAATCTTCTAAAACCGTCCCCATTGCTTCCCCTGTTGATAACAAAGAAACATAATTATTTTAATTTAGTTGACTACAGGAAAAGAGAATAAAAGAAAAGAATTATAGTATACTATACAGGTATATAACATTTCACCTGATCAGCAGTACTAGGCAATAACGTGCGTTAATCTATAAAATCTCACTGCGTTTTTAAATACTGTGGCAGTGTGCACTGCTAAGATCTCCAAACCATGGGCCGTCTTTTGCATATCAGCAAGCCCCGAAGAAAATAGTTAGCATTTATATGGCCAGCTGTATTCTAATTTTTCTCTTGCAAATTAAAGAATTAATATTATATTCCGAGGCCTTTGTACTGCTAAGTGACAAAATATAACTCGCACGACGGATATTGTCATAAACATCGGTCATATGAGACCAACCTGAATGAACTGTAATGTAAGTAAATGACAGTTATAGCTTACAAAACTATATTTGCAGCAGAAGTGAACAAAAATCGTCCAATTACTTTTCCTGTTTTAAATTATTTTCGTTTTCAGCTGAATAGTTTTGTGGTTAGCCCGAAAATCTGAACATCCGGACTGGTAAGAATAGTAGCACCCCTGTCGACACATTTCCGCGTCAAATATACGCTGTAAAATTCTAACTCGAAATTCCTTCATTTTGCCCCTTTTTGTAAGGTCTAATTTAAGGCAGCTGATCGCGTAAAGCATCCAAAGATAAAAGCAAAACAATCTTCTCAGTAAAGACTAATGGATCGAAGACAAAGTGCGTCTAACTAAAGGCTGTGAATCCTAGCCAAGTCCATTCAAATAAATTCAGTTCGCCTCAATGCAAGTACAATGGTCCTCGTCCAAGACATATAGAAAAGCAATTCTATGGCACTGTTAGTATAGGGCAAACATTGCCTTATGACGTTTATTCCTGTATTGATTTCTAAACTACACACGAAGTCTGCAAAGTTCGAATTAACCTAAAGTGACCTTTCGTTAAAATCAATTTGACTCTCCTATCAGGTTTCTATCGATCATTGCAGTACTTCTAATAGTGTCGGATAAAGATAATTTTCCCGTAACATAGATTTCGAACTTGTTCAGATTTGTTAGAAGGGCGTAGTTTGCGGGCCTTTTGAGTCAATGTTAGAGACACGCTCAAGTGAACCACCACAAAGAACTTTCGTGATCAAACCGTGTTTTGCAGGAATTCAAAATTATGCAGCAAAATATCAAGATATTTGCGCCTTTTAACGTTTACGCTTACCAGTTTACTAAAGAATCACTAGATAAATCGTGTTGAGGTCATAACATTATAATTATGAGTCATTAACGGTTTTAAATCTCCGCTCTTTGCCATAAATTAAACACCTAACTTGTTCGTCATGCTCTAATCATTTTAAAGCCACGGATTCTTGCTATTTTGCCTGCTGAGTTGATTACACACAAGCTATGTGCAGCTTACTAAAATATTTAACCTAGCTGGAGTATTATTTCTCCCTATTTACCTAAATGCTTGAATTTTCGTTGCAGGAAATTAGCGCGCACGCGAGTTAGATTCCGTGTGTAAACAGTTGCCTCCGCCATCACGCGAAGAAAAACAAATGCTGCTTTAACTTGCCATTTTACTGTTCATATTTCTTCAAAGAAAACGAATCGATACGAATAATGCTTATGCGTCGTCTAATAAGATAAAATTACAAGGTTCTTACCTTATCCCGAGTAAATACTCTACGACATTCAATCTAGAGACTGGCGCTTTCGTGTGCGTCTTGCGTGATGCTAACTGTGGTATTATGGGAATGGCGGGCATGGACAATTAATGTGTAACTAGCACTTGTTTTTTCACGAAGGTATTTTATAATCTCGATATGGCTGAGCAGTCTGCATTGTTACGGTTGTCAATCCATGTGAATAATTTAGATTCTTATCTGGATAAGTCATACGTAGCTTGCGCGCGCGGTGTGAGCTACACGAGGAGCGTGTGCGGAATGCTGGATCGGGCGACAAGAGTGGAAGGACGAGAGCAGGGGGTGATGTGAAACAATGAGAAAGGCCTCCCTAGCTACAATGTCTCCCATACAAAAGATGAAGGTTCTGTCGATCATTACAGTACTTTTAAAGGTCGGATGAATATAATTTTGACCTTCAGATTGGAAGGGGTCGGATCAAAGCGGGTTTCCTGTTTCCGTCTCTGCCTTCGTTCCCGCACAGGCAACTTAATAATTAACTACGTATACAATTGAACCTCGTTAATTCTATCACCGTTGGGTCATAAAATTCTGGTCGTAATCATGACGTGGTCGCATTAACGGGGTCTTAAAAATAATGAAATGCCTAAGAGATTTTTACCCTTTGGTCGTAATAACGACCGAGGTGGGCTCTATTTGGTGTCTTTGGTCGTAGGCTATATACTTTATCCCACTCGAACTTATCAACACCAAAAGAGAATCCATACGCAGAGGTTCTTGTTACCATGGTTGCTTATATACTTGGCCTCTTGCTTTGGGATTGGAGCTTACCATGCAGAATTTATCTGCGTTTGAAGTGCGCTGCTGATTTCTCGCTGTTGTGGCTCTCCTTCATTGATGGCATACTGGTGGTCGTAACCACCAAATACAATATATACTCTAAATCATTTCTTATCCTGGATCAGTGGCCCTGTAACTGCTCTTAACAGCTTTTTGGCAAGCCTTCCAAAATTTGTATTCTTACACTTTCGCACTTCTTCGTGATACTTTGTCGTAAGATTGTTGGCCGCATGATGGATTGTTGTCAGCTCATATGATCGTCAAGTTGCAATGGCTCATCGCTCACCGGTTGCGAAAAGTATTGCACGTTTATACCTCTTTGATTGACTTGTTCAAAACTGAAGTGGACACCACTTTTACGGCTCTTGAGTAGACCAATTCTGGCTGAGACGGATCTAGCTGCTTTTGAAAAAGCATTCTTCCTTGAAAAAAGTGACAGAGTCCATGGCGTTTAAGCTTTTCTGCGTGATACGTGCGTGCACTGCTGCAACCGCAGTTTTCTAGTTTTGTTCGGCATTTCTGAAGTAGTGACGTCATATCTAACACTTTCCCGCCAGTGTGAAAACATCTGCTCGATTACTTGCAGATTGATTTGGACTTCTAAAGCTTACATACTGAGATCACCCAACCTCGTCCCCAGCGCTTTTCCCTAAAAAAAATGGGAGGGGCTCCTCCCATTTTTTTATGAGAAAGCCCTGGGGACGAGGTTGGAGATAAACAGCCTCTGATGGTCTGATGTGACCTGATCTCCTTCCCTAATTATTCGAAGTACATTTTCGTCACCTTTCCTAGACTTTCTCAAAGCCCGTTTCCGGTGTACGCCTTCGACTTGTGGCAAGTCTACACCTTTCCTTTCTGAGGAGTTTTCTACGAGTGTGCATGACGGTCTTTTGATACGTATTCCTCGACACACCACTTGCTGGCGGAAAATGTAAACGGACCAATTAAATGAGTCGCTGCTTGAACTTGTTTTGCACTTGCTGGAATCGTTATGACCGGGCCAAGTGGGATCAATTTGGGTTTCTGGGAAACTTTCCACCAACCCCTCCCCTAAGTAATTGTTAATATTAGCTTAGGGGAGGGGTAAGTGGGATCAAATTAAGAATCTTGGGCAACGGAATCATTGGACGCATCTCTAGCTATAATATATAGATTTAGCCAGGGCTAAAAGCAAAGCTCTGGTTAATAATACGTGTACACAAAAAATAATTAAGTTAATGCTAAACGGGGACGACAACATAATGAAAATGGCTTCAAGACTAATAGATCTAATTAGCAAAAAAACAAATTGCACGTGCAGAACACTTTTTCTTCTAATTAGCAAAAAACAAATTCGCACGTGCAGCACGCTTTTTTGTCTTTCCTTTGCACGACTACAACGCTGTTTTGTACGACTAAAACGTCAAACTTCCTAGTTACACATTATTTTTATGGCGGAATTGTCGTATGTGCTTACCCAATATTTTGTTTCCTGTGTTCATGTTCGCTTTTATTTTTCACTGCCGCTCATTTTCACCTTGCTGGCCGCTAGCATTTCTCATTTTCTCAAGGGCGCTTTGACTTTCCAAGTTTTTCTTCCTACGAAATTCGTCTCCTTTGTTTTCAATAACTCGCTCTAACTCTTTCTCTGTTATCCACGTTAGTGTAAAAGACACGACTCTGTTGTTGTTTTTTCTTTCTAAAGCTTTCTAAAAAGACCGGCCGGCCATGTGATTTCCTTCCAAACAAAACCTTGAGTTGCATTTGGGTTGCCATACCCGTTGATTGAGTTATTTTACATTGGTATGCCTGTGGTGCGGACGGACGGTCGCGCGGGCGATCCGTCGGTCGGTGTACGGTCACGTGATTACCAAATTTTCTCGGATGGGTAGATTACCACATTTCCTTAGCTAAGGGGCTCCGCCCACGCGAGGCGCCTCGCGCCGCGCTACCAGAGGCTATTCACATTTTACATGAAATCAAACAACTACTTATAAGATGACTTATTTTTATTTCGTACTTTTTAAATCTACAACAAGTACTTGTAATGGTGCTTAGGCGTATAGTATAACTAAGTACACCAAACGCTATGCTTTCTATGTCCCATTATCACAGTACGTAAGCGTAGCAACATGTAAAGGAGCCATGTGTGGACTTCAATATTATCGAATTAGGTTCACTGAAGAGAAGCAAAATTTATACAAGTGAAAAATCCTTCACATAATTATCATTATCAAACCTGAACTAAACCCAATACTAATTTCGCCTCCCAGGTAATTAAACGTGTTTACATTATAACATCAGAGAAGATTTACAATATCATTTAGATTTCCTTTAGAGATGATCGTTTAGAGTTAGAATTCTTGGTAATTAATTGTGTGTTTTCACATGACGTCATGAGAGGGCGAGTCCCTGTCGGTGACGTCACAGTTCACAGTAGAGTCCAAGACAAAGTCCAAGACTGACCGAGCCGCCCAGAACGCCTAGGCACCAGGCTGGACCTAAACCCACATTCCGCCCGAGTGAACACACACAATGAGACGCGATCCACATTTCGGTGGCTATTTTCATACAAATAACTGTATTTGTCATTTTAAGACTTGAGATGGTGCCTTTGTTCACAGGGATGCGGCAAAAGTCTATTTTCGAAACTGTTAGAAAACCTTGGTTTTCAAAGGAGTTATTTGCCAACACCTGAGTTTAAAAAACGTTTTACTGGAAAGGTGATTTTAAAAAGCTCAAATACCAACAACATGCTTCTATGATCGGTGAATTGTCGATCAGTTGTTCAATTTCATTTTTGAGCAAATTAAACGGAAATTAAGACTCGCCAAAAGAACCAAAAACAGGGAATTTAATGTAATCATTATCCTTAATTCGTAGCGATCAGCTACCAAATATCAGGTAAATAGTAAAGGACTTTGTAGATCTCCTTTTCTAGCCTATGAAAAATTCGAACTTTACCCAGTAAATAATTCGCTACCCAGCAACAAGACATCATTGCCTTTATAACACCGAATTTTCAAGTGTTGTATCGGAAATTTAGCAATAAAGTTCCTTAAATGTTCTACAATATGAACAACCACTAGAAATACTTAGTTTTTACTGATATTAAATATATATATATATACTTCCTATCATGTTTAACAATGAAACGATTATTCAATAGCGGATGCGGCCATACACAAGTTTAAAAACAGCAAGTAGAACAACAGCGACAACGACAACGTCAGACAAAGTTAAAACAACAACAACAACAACATGAATGACAACTAAACTAAATCGTTGCATAACACATTGCATCTTTTCTACCAGAGTAATTAGGAAATCCTCATCAGTACAATTACAGATCCACTGAAATCGCCCAAGATCACATTTGAAGAAAATTAAAAAATTGCGCTTAATCGTAAAATGATTAAAATGAAATGTACATTACGGGATATACCACCAAAAAGGACTAACAACCCAAAAACATCCCTATAGACCTTGCCCGCATTCCGCTCCATTGAGAAAGAACAACGAAACGAGGTCGAGACCTTAGCGGACATTTACATAAAATCATTGTATTTTGCCACTCCCAAGCCTCGAGTCGGTAGTTAGTGTGAAGGAAAACAGCACTTTTTAACTCTCCGCATCGGCTATTTCTCGCAGCTCTCCGACTCCCCTATCTGAACCTCTGGAACTGGCTACGAGTCGGTGCCTTTGATCACAGAAATACAAGAACGGTCTATTAAGGATATACATATTCCAAGCAGTCACTTTGGCCAATCATAACAAGAGCTGACAATCAAAGGAACCAATCACTGTCAAACGTGGGAAAAGCGCGTGTGCGCAAGCCATGCCTAGTTTTGATTTTTTTCTGATAGGCTGAATGAGTACTGCGTGATCTTTTTAGCCAATCAGAACGACGCATGCATTACCTGCGGAATCGCGAAATTCAACTGGAAACTGCCTTTAGAATAATCTGGGGAAAAAAGCGTCGAAAAACAAACCGTATAAACGATGAAACCGTGTCAGACCAATCTCAAACTCTATCATCATCTTTGGTGCGTACCTCAGCTCTGTTACGTAAAATAGAGACAACGATAAAATAGTTTCTCTGACTTTTGAACCAGAATCTGATAGCTGCAGTAGGTAACAACAAGGACAAGACGTTTTACATAAAAAAGGTTAATAATTACTTCCTAGACTAGCCCAATCAAAATTATTCACTGTATGAAATTAAGAGGTTGAATTATAATGTTCTGAAAAATAAAACCTCTAGCTAAAACCACCACTAAAAAGCTAAAAGAACATTTTCTGCACGGACATCAATGAATTCCCATCTAGTACGTGCTATTACAAATATCTTACTATATTCTTAATAAATAACAGCCAACAACTTACTTGGCTAAACTGAGTTGCAATATTATTATTATACATAGTGCATACTAACCCAGAGTGCAAAGAAAGTAGTGTCTGATAGCCCGGGGCTAGTGGATTTTGCTATCGGGGTAGGGAATTTTGTTCTTAACTTGCCTGATGGGCAAGTGGAATTTTTTGAGGAATTCAAATTACAGAAGAACTGTAGAATCAATGCTGCTCATCAAAATGTTTTTGGGGCTAGTTGAAATGATTTTTGGGCTAGTATGTGCTAGCTTTAGCTTGCCCGAATGGCAATCTTTAAAAATGACTTTCCTTGCACCCTGCTAACCCTCTACTCATAATTGGCTAAAAGCCTACAGTTAGGGGAATCAGAGTAACCTACAGAATAGTTAGGGATGGACCATTAGAAAAGTTATGGGGGAGTTGGGAATTTTCGAGCCGCTGGCATTTTTTTCGTTATCAAATTCCTTGTATGAATTTTTTTTAGGCCATAGCATGAATACTTTTTTGGGGTTAATTGACGTGCATGAATTTTTTCCATTTAATTTTCCCTTGCGCGAATATTTTTTTTGTACTTCGCCCCCCCCCCCTCCCATAAGTTTTCTAATGGTCAGTCCCTTAGTTATCTGCTTGCAGATTTATTACTGACTAATCTGTAGGTTGCGCATGCAATGCTTGATTTTAAAGAGCAATGTCAAACTGTGTTAAGTGTGACAGAGTGTGTTTTTCTTCGAAACAATGTATAATAAAACAATGTATTAGATTTGGTTTCTGTGATATCCAAAATAATCAAGGTCTCGGTAAGTGTTGTCAACCAAGACGAAGGCCAATGTTGATAACACCTACCTCAACCTTCATTTTACAGATATCACAAAAACCTTATCCAATAATTATTGTTTAAAATACTGCAGTAAGATTCTAATCCATTGCCTTATCTATACTTCCTGCTGTGGAGGTAGACGACTTTGGTCTTTTAGGACTGTTAAATGGACTCATTTTGATATCAGTTGAACTATCACTTAAGCTCAAATTTCTTTGCTTGTCATCTTTGTGTTTGATGTAGAACTTCCTCAGCATGTGCATCCGTTTCACAGGATTGTCAGCTATATAGCTGTTTTTCACAAACTGTGGAGCAGAACCTTTTAGCTTCATCTGAGTGACGATGGTGACTGTAGAGGACTCAGAGCCATCATCTACTGGCCGTATAATAGTCCCTGATAGGATGGTCTCAGCTCTTTGAATGGAAAGAAGAAACTGCATTATTAAGGTTGAATAAATAGCCCTGGATATGCATGTTAATGTCACACAATAGCGGGCAAAGAAAGTAGTGTCTGATAGCCCGGGGCTAGCGGATTTTGCTATCGAGTTAGTAAATTCTGTTCTTAACTTGTCCGACGGGCAAGTGAACTTTTCTGAGAAATTCAAATTACAGAAAAACTGTGAAATTAATTCTGGTCATCAAAAAGTTTTTGGGGCTAGCCTCAGCTGGCCCGAATGGCAAGCTGTAAAAATGACTTTCTTTGCACCCCACACAAGCAAATTTCAACACCAACCATGTTTTGGAATTAACAAAAATGGACCTGTTAACCCATTGTAAATAAATCCCCAGGGCAGTAGAGTTGAAAAGAATACTCGCGCACAAAAACTGCAACAACAAAGAGTTGAAGTCAGTTGACAAACAAGGTTTGCTGGTGAAATTTACTCGTCTGATGCAATCATCCTTAATATACAGATTATTATGCAAGTTGGTGGAAGCTGCTACACTCTGTCCTTCCAAAGTTCATTAATTAAAGCATTCATGCTTATGTTTTGATTGATGGGTCTCCAGTTTCTCTTACATGTATGCAAGTACCAATGATTAAGGTACGTAGAGTATATTATAGACAACTAAATATTAATTATATCTAAATATTAATTAATTAAAAATGTCTTGGAAGGAGAATTTAATTTCTTCCACACCAAACATTCAGCTGCAGCCACCCCCAACCATTAAGCAAGTCCAAGCTACACACACTTTGGTTGCCATACCGAGTACAAAAACATTTGGCAGCTTCCGTTCTGCAGGGAAAGTTGGTCTGTATTTGGCAGTCAATTCTGCCAAACCGTAGTCACTGCGCTTTTATTAGTTGTATTTATGGTCTTTCTATAAAAGCTAAATGAGAGATAAATATTTGCTATCATGTTACTCGTCCCTTTTATCCTAGCTGTCTAAATAAAAAAAACTTTGAGATGTTGCGTGGACCACCAAATGCAATTGTAATAGTCGAAAGTCGTCCATGTTGTGTTGCATAAAGTATCCTGTTTTTGTTGTTCTGGCCACCAAGATTTTATATCTGGTGAGTGACCATTCTACAATATTATTTCAGTTTGCCAAAATGCGACTTTGAAAAACTGTAAGTTGATCTAGCACGGACCACTTTAAAATTTATTACTTGTGTATTATGTACCTAACAATTTTGGATGAATTGTGAGACTGCTGCATCAAAGGATGTTCTGTGCTGCGAAGTGCCAAGATGTAACACCGCTGGTCTGAGTCATAACGCTCTAAGGAGGCCAAGACAACGTCTCTGTTGGTGCAAAACAGTGGCATCTTCAAACGGCTGTTGAAAGAAAAAAAAATTAACACACAAGATAAATGCAATCAGATAATTTTGTGTAATTGGCTAATTACCTATTAAAATCCCTGCACCTATCCTCAAGAGAGGATGGATAAAATTTAGAAACAGAAAAAATGACAGGTCGTCATGCAATACTTCACAAATAAGGCATGCGGTACCTCTACGAAATTATTAGTTTTGAAACATTTAGTTAAAAAAAAAAATAAAACATGGGATTTTTCAGACATCTGGCAACTCAACTACATGTATTGAGTTCTAAAGCTGCAACACTTATAAATTTAAAGTACACAATAGTAACCATGGTTTTACGAGCATAAATTAATACAAGGATTCTTAAAAAAAATAAAAGTAGGAAAACCTGAAACAAGACATTTATAAAAAATTCTTACTTGTACACAACTTTAAAGTTCCCTATTCTGTCCAAGACATCAACAACAGTTGCAGTTTTGTCCCATTCCTGACGTAGCTTCCAGTCTGTCATAAGTTTGACCGCTAAGATACAAAAAACAACAACAAGATATTAATGTAAGTATATATATAAAAACACTACAAAAAAATAGTGACACCTGTTATAAGCACTTTATAAACATGGAAAATGAGTACGTAAGGAGGCATTAATTGGCCATTCAAGCAGTTAGAGCTTTAAGGTTGCCTTGAAATCTGGAAGTCCCAGGTTCAACTAATGCCATGACATAAACTAAAATATTTACATTTGTTCAAATTATGCATGATTATGAATGAGGTGCCAACTGGTTTAATGCTATTCACAGCTGGGTTACTTACTTAATTGTTATGTTTATTTGCATTACTTGTTTCTATCCTTTTTTGTGGGCTACAATGTAAATTACTGGTCATGGTGGGTTACCATCTAAAATCTAATTTGTCGAGTAATCCCAACATAGTCTGGTTTACACTGATTTCATACTTTTTACTTAATGGTTCTTGTTCATTACCATCAAGTATTAATTTATTTATTAAATTACTTACCTTTCTGGAAAGGGACATCCTCTAGTCGCAGTACAGCCTTTGATATTAAAATAGAAATATTAATAGAAAAATAATATTATAGAAATTAAAACAAATATTAACAAATCAGTGACTGTGAGGAATGAACTAAGAGCAAGTTCTCAAAGTTCAGAGTAAATTTTTGGTCTCTGACAAATTAAACGTTATGATATGGCTTATTTTGAGGATTCTCATTCAAATTTATTGTCTTACAGTGTGTACACAGTAAAATGTTAAATTCTTTAAAATAAAAGTTGTTGAAAATACAAGTAATCTCAACGGCTAATTATTTTTTGAAGGAAAAAAACAATTTTCAGAAAACACAGAGCAAAAAAGGAAATTCATGATGTCAAACAAAAGGTTCCTACAAAGAAAAATGTAAATTTGTAAGGCAAAAGAACAAAATTTCCTGTCTTTCCGAAACCTAATTACAGCCTGCCAATGCAGAAGTATTTCCGGTCATCTTTACAAGAAGCAGTGACCGGAAAGTCTGTATTCGCAGGCTAAACCTACCCTTTCCTGAACATTAAGAAATTTTATTATGACAAAAAAATTCTTCTTCAAGGGTTAATATATAGCCACTGCATGGAAATTCAGACTATAATCACCTTTGTTATCGGTGGATGACCATCTTCATTTGAATCTCTCCTCCAGACCTCTGCATCCTTGGTTTTCTTAACTCGAGACCACGCTCCTTCTACGCTCTCACTCTCTACTGAAAGTAGTCTCTCAATATCATTTTCATGGATTGGGTTGGATGGCACGTAAGGTTGAGGCTCATACAATATAGTTCGCTTAAGCGTACTGGAATCCATAACATCTACAAAGACAATTTGATGAGTCAGCTTAATTGGGCATGGATGTCATAAGATTCTTTTATGTCACTTAAGTGGAATTTAATACTTACCTCTGAGATGCCGACAATTACGTCAGTCATCGGACAATGTGAAACTATATAAACCTCGCGCTATGCATGTTTAACAACATACAGTCAATGTGAAATGCTGCATAAACCTTTCTCCATCCTAAAACCTCAACTTTACATAAGTTCTATCAGTTGGGCTTTTTCCTCTTGGGAGTATTCCAAGAGAAAATTTCCCATGCATCATTAACCACAAATTTAAATATAGAGTTGTTTCCCTCTCAATAATTATATTATTAAGTGGGCCCATTGAACAAAAAAAATTTCTACGTTAGGCCTCTTGGCCCTGCAGGGTTTTGTAGGGTTTTGCAAGGGAGATGTATCCACTGTGTATCTCAATGGATCTAATCGCAGTATACCTTATAATAATGGAAAAAATATATATCCTGGCTGCACAGAGTAATTTTTTCTTTATTGTTTGAGTTCATGGTATGGAGAAAATTTTCTAAAAATTGTATGAGAACATTTAGATTTCTATGCTGTTCTTCTGGGCCAAGCTGAGCTAAGTTCTAGGAAAATTTAATCCCCCCCCCCCACCCCGTCCTGATCCGGTCTGGCTAAATATTACCTAGTTGTGATAATGTGCGAAAAAATCGAGTTTACTTCGGTCAACTGAGTTTGGAAGGGCCGTAGCGCAAGGTTTGAAATGAAGCCAAGATACTTAGGTGAACGTTAATTAATTCTTTCGCATTAAGCCTCTCTAATTTCGCAACAGGGGCCTCGACAAAGTGCGTACAATATGAGCACGCAGTTTACACTAATCCCACCATTTGTCGTCCTCCAACTTCTTTGTTCGATTTCACGAAGACCGATTGCTCAAGATACTAGCTCTTTGCACGCTCTTTTCTAAGAGCTCAATATTTCTTTCAACAGTTCATAATGAAATTATCAATAAAACTATAAAAAATTCAAAGCGACGGCGGCGGTGGCAGCCTAAACGGCTAAAAGTTTAAACAGTGATCATCTTACGTGTATCGATCAAATCGCGTTCAATGATATGCCCACAAATAAGCAACATCCGCAGTTGGCCGCCATAACTTCGCTTTTCTTTCAGCATTTTGTTCAGGCACACAGAAACACAAAGCAAAATTTAAAATAAATCTCCCTTTTTCCTAACATTTACTCTGCTTTATAAACACATTCTCACGCCTTGTTGACATCGCTGTTTAGATTTCGGGAGAAACAGTTATGTGAGAGAAAACAACAAAAGTTATCGAAAAAATAACAAATTCTGTCAAATAAAAACGCACTTGATGTTTCCGCCTTAGAAAACTATTTTCAAATTCAATTAACGTGGTGGCTGTCAGTCCTATTTCATGTAAAAAATTGTTTAAAAATTAAGAATTCGACGAACAGGTAAGAAGAACAACCGCCATTGAAACGGGCCACGAACGCAGCGAAACGCGGCGATATTGAACGAGAGCATCCTCGTTTACATAATATCCAACCCGATTTCTGAAAACTTTAAAACAAAACGTACCTGAGTCGCTTTCAGCCCTCATTTTGATCACAAAAACTGTTTCCTCCTCCTCAAAGACTCAAATTACTGCATGAGCGGACAAGTAAACAACCTTCACGAGGTCCGGTAGTCGATGCAAACTATGACATCATAAATATTCATAGCTCCTGTGACATTTAAGTTATTCCAACAATTGATATAAATATTCTAATTATATTTCAACTCCTTTGTAACATCAAAACACTCAGTATTGCCTCGGTAAACTAAATATTTGCCACAAGGACATAGAACCTTTCCCGTAATATTTCGGAAAACCTATTTTGGATGCAGTATTCTTGTCGTTCTTTTGAATCTTATCTACCCAATTTATCATCATGGGGTGCTTTAATAAAAACATAGCGTGAACAAATATGCGATACACGCGGACGAGTTTCTATTACAGGAATTATCTGCAGGGTTTTTTTCTTCTTTTGTTCACAGTCCTTACTTAACCCCAAAAGATCAACCTTAAGAAGTAACTCGAAATTGTAAGGATAGCAACGAAGCACGTCCCATGACGTCATTCAAAAAAATAAGGTGAGTAACCAATACATCCGTCATTAGTTTAGGGCGCAGCATGCCTCGAATGAGATAAGCGACCATATGTGGCAGTCATATGTTTTTCAGTGTCTTTATAAGGAAGCTTCGTAAAAATTCTACCACAGATTTTACGATAGACAACAGCAAGACACGTATCCGAGTCGCACAAAACGAAAGGATTTATATACCCTCTATATAAAAAATTTACTGAATTACCTCAACTTTGTGTTCTCAGGAGTTCGGGTCGAAGAACAAACGAATCCGCTTATGTTCCTGAAAGTTTGTATGCGTACAAACTAAACGCGAACTCACTATATTTATCCGCCGCACAAATATACTTACATAAGATCTGGCCCAATTTTAGCAACCCTCACACAACCTCTCTTATGTGGTTTGCCACGCGAAACGAAAATAGAGCCACATTTATTTAAGGTAAGTACGTATCCACTTTCAGACCATTTAGGAGTTTGCGGAAGCTATGAGTGCATAAACAATTCCTGTCAATAAGATGAGAAACATGCAGGATGATAACAACCCCGAAGAATATCTTGCTCGTTTTGAAATATTCAAGGAACACTAGAAATCCCGAGTGATAGTTTTATACCATTCTTAAAGTATGAAAATTTTTCGCAAACCTGCCGAGCTAAAGTACAACCTGAGAACAAATAAAAAGGTACCATTGAATAATGATCGTACAGTTAGCTCAGGAAGTTTGTAAAACGTCTTCCTAGTATTGAAAATGGTTTAGAATTTAACCGAAATATCAACGCTTATTTCTCTTAACAGTTTTCTTGTATTGTCACAACACTTTAGTAGGCAGATGTACCTCTGTGTTGTTTTCAATCTAAAGAAACGCATTCCCACCGTCGCGCAATTTTTACGTGTGTAGTACCACTGCAATCTTTATCTGGCTCTACGTACGTGCTGGAGGCCGACGTAAAGACGAGCCGCGCTCAACGCGACCTCTCACAACTCGCCAATACTTCATTAACTCACTTGAAGCAAGTGTAAGGCTATCCAGCAGTGGCAGTCCATCGTTAAAACGACTGAAACCTCTCACATCTTTTTTTTGGTCTTATCCCAATCAGGTTGCCTCAGGATCAGAAAAGAAACCGGGAAAAATCAAGAAAAACAGAAGACAGCAATAAAAGATTTTATTGTAGGGATTTTTCAAGTTGACAACTAATTTAAGTTTAAAAAAAAATGACTATTTCTGGAATGTAACTCGGCAATGTTTTCAATATTTGATGTGATATTTTAACTTTGCCTGCCATAAATAGTTCTGAATTTAAAGATTTCATACATCAGGACAGAAGCACATAACCCTCAACGGGGTTATACGCTCCTGATCAGTACAAGCAAGCACCAAGATAAGTCAATATTACCCTAAAGATAAATATTGCACATAAATATTACTTAATACCAGGGAAAAGAACATGATTTTTTACCTTAATTATGCCTCGTTAAACATTCTTTGGCTGAAAACTATGGACACAAAATTGGCCAACTGATAAGAAGAACACAATGTATGCTAGCACTAGAAACGCCATTCGTCATTCAAATTATTTCTGCTCGTGTGCGGTTTAATTTTTTTTTCGTCGTCACACAACGCTCCTCCGAGCGTTGCGTGACTACTCAAAGAACGCCTGCGTAGGTAGGGGACTACTGCGTAGACGGCAAACTTTCTCCTAAATTTCGCATGTAAGATTTAAAGCCTCATGGCATGCGAAAGACTTTTGGGCAGCTTGTGACAAAATTCTTCAGTGGCCAGTAATAAACAAATTTCAAAACAAAACAAGCATACTAGTTAAATGAGAAAACAATCTTCGAACTAGATTCACAAAATATCGGAATTTTTTGGTGTCTCCCAAAACAACCATTTGCCTCTACCACATTAACAACAGCCCAAATTGTTGTTGTTTCGTCAGTACCTATTTAACACATCTACGTTTTATTCAACAATTTACTATTTGCATTGTTCTAATATGCCCAAGCACTCCATGTAACCCTGTGGGCGTAGGATGGTAATATTGCAGCATAAAGATTATGGCTTGTTAACAACAACGTTTACCATTTGTCAGAACTGGCTGGTCAGGGTCAGTCCAGTCAGTCGTAAAGTAGCCTGTTCAAGGCTCCAAAATGGTGGGGAAAACGGATCGAGAAAAATGTGCAAAAAGCCGCCTCTAGACTGGGGAGAGAGGGTGAGGTCTTTTTCGCCGCTACCTCGCTTTTTTCTCTCGTTCACACTGATCGAGAGCCCGGAACCGGCTAGTCGTAAAGAAAATTCCAGTATTAATGAGGACTAGTTAGACAGATATAAGTCTATACCTAAATACATGGTATATGCGGCAGCGATAGATTCTAGCCAAAATTTCCAGAAAAGATCAATATCTCATTTTAAAATGACCGGTTCGATCGACCAGTTCTGACTTTTGCCTCGCCAAGGACCACTGGATCAGAAGCCAAGACAATAGTTCCCTACCCCGTCTCTCGAGTGACGCGAAGGTCTGGAAACTAAGCTGAACTGTATGTGGGGCACATTTTGGAACTAAACAATGTTAAATGAGCAGTTATTCAAAAAGGCAGGAGATAAGGTATAATAGTTTATAGTAGAACGTCTGCACGACCCCCTAAAGGCTAATCCACTCCATGTCGACAGCATTAAACAGTTGACATGCGTTATATATTATTTCCTAACTATATGGATGGAACTGACAAAAGGACAAAATTCAACAAAATTTCCAAAATTCATTCTGTTAAATGCTGAAAAACAAATAGCACCATAAGACAGCTCATTTGTAAAGTGGTTTAATTTATGAGGCCAAGAAATAACGATTTCCTTCACACACTCAAAAATTATAACCACCTTAGAAGACTCCATAGCCGGCAAAAAAAGCGCCATTTTTTCGTGTTTTTAGGGCGAGGGAAGCACGAAGCGGGCGTGGATCTCCTTCCTGCGTCGCGCGTCTCTTACGCCCTCGGCTTTTCGCGCTTGCCTACGCTTGCCTAAAAAACGCGATAAAACAACTTCTGCTCTGCAAGCTAAAGACTTCATAATTTACTGGCGGACACCACTGAGCGACAGTCTTGGGAGTGTCAACTTTATACACGTTAACTGTATTGGCTTTTGCATAAGCTGTCTCCTGTTAAGGTTTCGGCTTTTTTCGGCCTCTTACAGACCCGGTCCCACTGGGTGAGAGTCGTAGTGGCGATCACGTTGTTCTTCAGAGCCGATTGAGCTTGGTTTATTATGTTGGGCGGGTTGTGAGGGCGGAGCAAAAATCACTTTATCCACATATCCATTGCGAAAGGTGCCGTGCGGGTCTAACTTTTCGCAGATTTGACGAAACTCGTTGAATTTAGGGAACATTCTTTCAATCTCGACAGCGGTCAATTCGTGGGCCTAATAAAGAAAAAAAAACAGCACGGTTGTTAATCTACGTACGCCGATAACAACATGAGTGGTTGGCCCTTCATCAAGAAAACAGGGCAGAAACAAATTAACAATAATTAACAATTATTGAATGAGGCCGAGTAGGATGTAGAATTATGCAGATCGAGGAGGATGTTATCCACCGAGATCTGCATAATCCTTCACATCGTACGACAGCCGAATTCAATAGTTTTATTGTTCATTCAAAATATTTCTCAGTTCTTAACACGCTTACCTCCTCGTAGACCTTCTTCAAAGCTTTGGCCTATTTCTCGGCACGGTTTCAGGATACAAACAGATGTTATATCTCGCAGATACTCCACAAAAAGTAGATAAAATCCATCGAGAAATGTGTTTTGCATATTCTTGCATTTTTTCCATTCAGCCCAAGTCAGAGGTTCAGCTATTTCGTCTTCGAATAGCCGTGAACGCCATTTTTTTTATTTCACTCTTGCCCAAGCAGCTTCGTTTCCAATAAAATATACCACCGAATCGATGGTATATTGCTCACATCTTCCGGGGGATTGGAGCCAATCACAAAAGCTCAGAAACGGCCAAATATTTTTGATGAATAATAATAAGATTTGTTGAACTCGTTATCGCATCGAAAAATGTATTACCACGTGTTCAGAGAAAACTTTCGACACATCTTTAGATCAAAGCTGACTTATCTTCTGATTGGGTGAGAAGATGGCAACGAATGCAGCAACTGGCCAATCAGAACAGACGTAGACAATCAAATAAACCAATCAAAACGCAAAGCAAAGATAAGCAGCAGCCGCGAAGCGCGGGAAAACGTGTGGGAAAGAGTTCCAATTGGTTCAGCCGAACACGTGGTACGAGAACTTTAAGCCAATCGCAGAATGGAGCAATTCATTTCTTTTGCACAAACTTTGGCAATTGTGCTGCCTTACCTTAGCCCAGTGCGGTCTGCCGCCCACTGACATCATAAGCTCTTCATAGTACTTCCAGTAACTTTCATGAGGAATAAATTTGTCATAAGGCCTGCAGAAGCCAAGAACAGTAAAAAGTGGATATAACCTCGTCACCAAACACCGCTTTTAAAAAACAGTGACGGCAAATCTAAATAACATAGTTTATGTATCATATTAGGTATAGATACACAATGACTGGAGACGCAAAACGAAAGGAAATTACAACAGGTCGCAAATGGGTTTACTGTTAAGCCTGACAAGTTTTCAGACCTTCATCTTTATTCTTTGCAATATTATAAGGCTAAAGCGATCCGCTTTATAGCACTGAAATAATTAGGAACTTGACACAATGCACTAACACATGCAGCCCCTTAAAATTGGCAACTTCTACAAAGTTAAAAAAGTAAAGTAACCTCTGCATTTTCACTATACCTGTACGATATAATGTTGATGAAGCACATGTCCTGCCCATAACATGGGCTCATATAAATATCATCTTTTTTCACAAACCTGACTTCAACTAAAATAAGAAAAGTAAAAAAAATCTGTTATAGTTCTAGTCGGAAGATGGCGTAGAACAAATACAACGGTTTGAATCTTCCTTTTTTTCTTCAAATTTTTTTTTTCAGATACAATTGGTTATGTCAAAAACGTTTGGACACAAGGCTAATAATTGTTTTCAAGAGCTACTTTTGTTAGACGAAGATCCAGACGACGAAAGAAATAACCACGAGTAAAATAAAAAAAAAGATGATAATGAGGAGAAGACTGTAAACAAATAAAGATTTGCCAAAAGGAATGCTGCTTCGTTATCTTTTTACTCAGGATCAAAATAGTTGCCCCTGAACTATTACTTTAAAAGAATGCTATGAGGTCGGTTCATATTGATCATCACTAGCAAGAATTTCATCTACGCATAGTAACACTTACAAAATACAAAAGGACAATACTGTATTTTATTTTTTGCAGTCACGAAATTCTACAAGTCGTCTAGCTCTTGAAAACAATTTCAGAAACTCAAGAAAAATTTGCTTATGTCAAGGGTTCAAGGAAAATGAAAAAAAAAGCCAAGCTTTATTTAAAACAAAATGACTACGGTAGAGAAACTGATAATTAGTTAGCTCCCCTAAAGCTTTTCAAGGTGGTAACAGTTGCTATGGCCGCAACCATGAATAACCGAACCATGTATTACATGTATGTGGAAACAGTCTCCACCTATAAAAAGCCGACGTTTTCCAAATTCCACTCGTATCTTTACGAATAATAATAATAATAATAATAATAATAATAATAATAATAATACTGACACCTGGAGCTAACTTATTGTGTATCATATTCATTCTTTACAAACAATTTAACTTCATCTCCTTGGGGATCTATAAGAAGCATTTTGCGTATGAGAAAAGCACTAAAGTGTGATTTCAGCACATGTTAAGCAACAAGTTTTCAGTTGGCCCGTGTAAGGAAACACGGATTCCAGAATGTGGGAAATGTTTGCTTGTGAGATCCAGAATCGGGAAAAATTTTGCTCACTGAATCCGGAATGGTGGGCTTTGGAATCCTGGAATACAGCTCAAGGAATCCGGAATCTCACAAACGATTGGAATCCAGAATCCGAGTTCCACTGACAAAGATTGGAATTCAGTACCCGGAATCCGAATCTACGGGTATGGAGTCCAGAATCCAAGACTGTATTGGATTCCCTTATATGGAGCTATTTCAGCTTTGCATTCATGAACTTAAGACACAATAACACATTTATCTGATCTATGACAAAAAGGTGGAAGTATCGATTAAAAACGTTCATGTTCTTCGGAGTAGAAAGGGGTGATTTATTCATTTTTACCTTTCGCGCAGGATAGCCAGAGTCTCCGAGAACAATTAAATTGACATAAGATAAAGTAACTTTGATAATCAGTGACATCACTTTAAATTAACAGAACAAGCTGAGTAATGTATTTGCCTTACCAGGAAAATGTGCATTAAATCCATTCTCATTTACCCATTTTTGAAGCTTTCGGAGTACATAAGCAGTCTTCTCCCTATTAAAAGAACAACGACAATTAACTTAATTATTACTTTAAGAACATGACATAGAATGGGGGAACCATGGCAACAAAGCCAGGATTCAAAAGTAGATTTCAAGCATGATCTATAGAAGAATACGCATACTCTTGCCCAACTCATACTCATAATCATACGAATTCTGTTCATGTGTGAATCCAGAAGCAAGAAAAGGTTCTCCCTATATTAAAATAACTTCCTACAGTATGCCACGCCAAGGAAGCATACTAGAAGTACAGATCACCGTCAGAGATTTGCTCATGCACCTAGTGGTTGTTTTATGTCCCACAGAGAGTGAAAGTATTGTGAGTCCTACACCAGTTTTCTGTCCTTGTCCAAGAAGACTGCTGAGAAGGTCAATCCATTTTAGGTTGTAAACAAAGCCGGCATAGCAGCTGAACGCAAGCTTCTGGCCACTTTGAACTTTGGTTTTAAATGAGAGAACAACCGGTAATGGCAGTTCATCAAATATGCTACAATCCTTGACAAAACTACTTGAGAAAATGTTTTCATTAATGCGTACTACCTAAACACAACAAAACTATTTCCAAATCAACAGCTTTTTGTAAAGAAAACCCCTTCCCCAGTTCAAAGTTGCTTCCTACAAACGCTTAGGGATCCGGCTTTCTTTTGAAGACCCAACAACACTGCTTCCAGGGGGAGGGGGGAGGGAAGAATTGGTCAACTACGAAAAGTAGAAACAATGCCCCACAAGTATGCAATTTTCTCAACAGTTTTGTCCAAGATTGTGGCTGCTATACCTATTAAACATGCCCCCAAATAAAAGATGGTAGTGCCATTATCCTAGTACTGTTTTGCCCTCGCACAAGACCCTGAACATCTCTTGTTTTCATTCCCTTTTGTACTAGAATAACATAACTTACTGTGGAATGGCCCACTCAGTCACATACTGCTTAAAGAGACAGTCAAAGTTGAAGATCTAACAAATGGAAGAATAAATGTAACCAGTTTTTAATAGTGTGTGTAAAGTACCACATGACAAACACAATAATATTATTTTTTGTGACAACAATAAAAGCTAAAAACTTCTGATAATAACAAAATTAACGTAAACATTAATAATTGTATTAAGTGCATGTACTAGGAACTGAAGGAATGCCAGTTTAAATATAACATCTTTCATTTTTTTTTTTTGAAATATAAGGTAGGGCTTGAAAAAAGTCCCATTTGGTAGTCCAGGTCAAGTACTTGTAGATTCTACTTGTTGGGCAAAGGTCCAAGCAACTCCCCTGTACGAAAATCATCAGCTGTAATGACAAGTAAGGATTGGCCCTGGGCAGGAAAAATGAGAGAGTAGCTTGCCCAAAGGACAATTTGAATTCATGCTTTTTTTTTCCCCAGCCCTGTTAGGGCATTCAAAATATCATTTCTTCCATCCTGCTTACAATGAAACTAACAGAATTAGTGTCCATATGAATGATTATTTTTCTTACCTTGTAACTCTGATCAACTTTATTTTCAGGTTGGCTGTGTAACAGTTGAAAGTAACCCCAGTTGATGGATGGCACAAGTCGTGGTACAAAAGAACTGTTAACAAGGAAAGAGAAAGAAAATTAAAGTACTCTACATGTTTGTTTGGTATATTTATTCAAAGAAGACATGCACACAGCAAATTGTTGTTGCTTGAAATATCTATATGTTGTAACTGTTCATCAGCAGGATGCCTACGCGTGTACAATTCCTTAATGGGCTTTGGCTCCATTAAACCCTACATGTATGTTAACCTAAGACAGTGAACAATTCTGACTGTAAAGGCAATCTTGGAAAGTTAAGTAAAAAGAGTTAACAAAAACTCCAAGGCATAATTATTTTTCAAGTTAGTAAAAAAATAAAATTAATGATGTCCCTCATAATACTGTGAAACAAGCCATGAAGAAGAGTTTATATTTTCTCCTTATGGTAATAGAATAATAAAAACAATAACGATAGAGTCCATCATCTTTGTAGAAAGATGCCTACTTTGGGTGTCTGTCTCCTAGAGGTGCATGTCTGTTATTAAACTGATGAGACAAAGTTGAGAGCACAATGTATTTAAATACAAGTACCTTAACCAGTACAGGAACTCCAAAGACCAATATCCTACAGCTTTGTCCCAAAACCAACTTGATGTGCTCTTTGCAGGCTGCAATTTGAAAATAGACGTACAGTCAATGAAGAGGGATACTTATGCATAGTAATACTGGTGCACAGCACACAGGCCAAGACTCAGACGTCTCTTTTCTAAGAAACGTTTTATGTGGTGGGGAACAAAGAGAGGTGGCTGTATTCATGGGCTACACAATGTTAGGGGCTACTCTAACTGCAAGTAAATTAAAAGCTGTGTTTTGTTAATTATGGAGGTGTCCATCTATAATTGTCATCATTCTGCTTTAGGAAGACTGGTCACAGTGGTACTAACTTTATCATAAATCTGCTCATCCATATTATAAAGGTAAATGTATAAACGTAAGCGAAGATCAATTTAGGTTTCTGGGAAACTGCCCACCTACCCCTCCCCTAAGTCAACATTAACACTTACTTCTCACTTAGGGCAAAATGTTGGGTTAGGGATGGGGTAGGTGGGTAGTTTCCCAGAAACCTATTTAATTTTGGACCTCTTACACTAAAGGCCGCACACTAATAACCCTACACTACACTATCCTTACTCCTGCTAAAAAGAGAGATGACTGTTCCTACAAGACTTTTAAAATTATTTAGTATTCCCACCTCAGAAGTCCTGTTGACATGATAGACTTTAGCATATCCTGTATGTGGATACCAGTGAAACTTGAAATACTCATCAGAGGATTTAAGTGCTTCAAGATTTTCCAAGACCTACAGTTCACAACATAACAAAAAGAAATTCATCAAAAACACCATAAATTATGCATGGAAAAAGTACCACCCAAAGAATAAAAATATCAAAGTAAAAACCATAACCATTTCTGTTCTTAAATGGAATAGGTAGGCATAAAAGCTACATCAGGTGCTATGAATTGAGCACGTGGACAATGCTGACTTGAACAGTCAATAAATTGTGCAGCTATTAATGCCCAAAAAAATTCTACCAGTGCAGTCAGACAATATGCAGACTGGACAAATCAAAGGAAGGAACAAACGAACAAATGAACGACTTTATTAAAAACGGAAACATCAGACGGTAATGACAACCATGATAATCGAATGCCCCTCAAATACTGTACCATTACTTTGTAGTGAAGATTTATGCTGTAATAATTAAATTTGTAAAGCCAACATTGTCAAACAACATTTCCGCAGGTTTGTCAACCTAAAACAGTGAATCCCATCTGATCAGGCATACAACTTTTCCCTAAAGAAAAATCAATTTGGATTTTCTTAACCATAACCAAGAATAATGCAGACCTCTTCTGTAAACAGACCCCAGTTGACACTCAAGCAGATAACGCTATCCACTCAATAGTGCAATAAATTGGTTTCCCCTAAATATACTTTATATCCACTGCATAGTGATTTATCCAGTGGATAATACTGTCCAGCTTTTGCACAACTTTAATCTTTAATCACATTTCGTAACCATACATAACTGATACAAATGAACTAATACTAACATATACAATCGGACAAAAATACAAAAAAGTTAATGGTTAACAGGACGGTAGTAACTGGGGCCAGGATGGTAGCTATAGACTTAAAGTTTAAGGATGGGTGGATGTAACTTTATATGTACTGTATAAAATTAAATGAATGGGTTCATACTTCCTCCAGTTTGAGGGATTCACACTGCTGACACAGTCTAAATGCAGGCTCACACTGCCATGTTAAACTGAGGATAATGCCAAGTGCACCAAGACTACAGAGAGCAGCTGAAAATATCTCTTTGTTGTCATGCCGACTACAATGAATGATCTCCCCACTGGCAGTCATTAACTCCAGTGACACCACCTGTTAATTGAAACACAAATAAAGATACATCTAAAATTAAGAGACATGAAAGACAGGCTCACTAGAGTTGACCTCTATCTGCTATTAGTAAAATCTAACTAGTGGTCTATTATAAATGCTGCATTCTGATTGCTTGAGCTATTACTAGGCTATATCTTATCGCCCAATAGTAGTGAAAAGCGGGGGGGCTTTTTGGTGTAAAAAACTAAAAAAACAGACTAGCTTTAATTAGCTAAAAGTTTTTTATTTTCGATATTTTTGAGCAACTAGTTGGATTTTACAAAAACAATTATTCCTCTCGCCCTCATGGCCTCTGAGTCAATAGCCCATTCGGCCTTCGGGCTCATGGGCTATTGACTCAGAGCCCAATAATTGTTAAATTAATATTGGAGGGGTACTATCAGCTTTCTTGCTAATGTAAAGGTATTATTACAATGTAATTTAGTTATATGTACATTAGTTTCAATTTTGACAGATTGCAGGTCAAATATCATTAGTTCACAATTTTTCTACAATGCGACAGTACGTATATGTACCTTTTCAGCTGAAATGTGTATTCATGATATAATAATATAATTCCCCACAAAGCGAAAGCCAAAGGCCCAAACAAACGCAAGGTTTATAATTTTGTTGGAATTTGCATTGTGCATGAAACTCACATGGATCTTTAGCAAGGTAAGAAATTTAAATACGAGTTGGTACATATAACTATCAGATTGGAAGCTGCAGTTACCTAGCAACAAACTGCAAGTAAACAAACCACAACAATTCTCGCCCAGTTGTTTTTGGGCCTTTTTAGCAGTCAAGAAATGCATTTGGCAAAGAATTTTGCTCGGAAAATGCTTTCAATAATACAAAAATTTTGTTTCAGAGAGAAGTTATTGGTAACTTGACACAGAGGTGTAGGAGTCAACCAAGCATGCAAGTGGTGCAACTGTTTGTTTGCTTCTGCTTTTTGCTTAATCATATTTTGTTCCCTATTAGCAAAATGTTTTCCCTGTACTGTAACTGCCGGCCCTTCACAGCTCTGCAAGATTTTGTGATACACATATTATGTTAATTACTTTTCAATTAACCCATTTGCCCCTGAACTGCTCGTAACCCCCTCTGCAGATCCAAGTCCCTTCTACCACTTGTGACATCATTAGTTTTGTCGGTCAAGGACAACATTGTCATCTAACTAATGTGCAGGGTGAAGAAATCTTTCAAACCATACCAGAATGAGCACAAGTCAGTCAAGGCCACAAAGGGTGTGACCTGTAAACAGCTTTGTGGTAAGTCTTGGCTCTTTTTAGCCAGGCAGTGACCAGAAAATGGCTTGACTAACTTCCAAACACGTTTTCCGGCAAAATTCTCAGGAGCAAATGGATTAAATAAAGTGAATAGGGAAAAACAACTTACAAAAGTGGCAACAATCCCATAGTTCTTTCCTGTTCCATGTGTTCCTGTGCATATAGTACCAGCACATGACATGCCAGAAACGGAACTAAGACTATAAAACACATGTAAAGTACACAAGAAATTAGCACAAACTGCAGCTTAAGTCTACAGAGAGAATTGTCTGTCCTCTGTTTGTAAAGATTTTTTTCTATCGACACTTGGAAATACATTGGATCCCTGCTCCATGGACATGGACAATGCCATTGTTAGACAAAACATGATTCCATGATCACTTTGGAGAAAACTAGCAGAAAATGGTCATCACAAACAGATAATTAATCTATAACCACTAAAAACTGATTATAAACTTTTATTACACAGGTACAAAACCTTAGAGAAAATGTTGATGTTAATTAAAAAACAAAACAAAACAAAAAAACAAAGGCAAAGGCAATGTCTTTGTAGGAGGCTAGGGAGTAAGTGCCTATGGAGTGGTTTTTACATAAGCATTATTAGATGACACATTAATGGGGAAGGGCAAATACAGACTGTCCAACCAGACCGATTTTGTTGGGATTCTTCCGCTTTTGCTGGAAAATCCCAAATCACGACCAATATGTGATAGAGATAGGAAAAATCTGTTCTAAAATTCTTAAAAGAATTCGTATGATACCTTTAAAGAACACCTAACAAAAACAAAACACCTATACTGATATCTTGAAAACTTTAAAAAAAATACCCGAAATATAAAATGAAATCAAGTAATTGTACACAAAGCCACGCAAATAAAAATAAGCAAAAAAATGACAATCGATACAGCAAATATTTCAGACAAAAATTGTCCTCTCAGAAATCTAGAAATGGCATTTCAGGGTATCAAGGTTTCAAAATTTTCTGGGGGAGAATCTGCCTAAACCCCCCTAGAGGTTCGCCTCTTTGAATGAATGAATGACTGAATGAATGAAGAGTCGTGGATGAGAGGGCAACAGACATACCCTCTTACAATACATTTTAACATGTGAACAGTAAGCTCGGACGTCAACATACAAAGGCGCCACTGGACGCCGCTCTCAGTCCATCTGTGAGCTTACTGTACCCACCCAACCCATGATGTGAATGATGTGATGAGTGAAGGTTGACCACAACACCTTTGGTGCATGCTTATGTGATTCATCCATGAAAATATCCTGATTTACATACTCAAAAGGTTGAACAGTCTGCAAATAAGGCAAAACCTCCAGAACAGTCCCATAGCGCTAAAACACAAGCCATAAAAACGTCCTACAGCCCAGGAACACAGCCCTCAAATATTTTCCTCTCCAGTTCAAAACAACACCCACCCCATCCCATCTTCAACTCATTTAACCACAGGCACTGCCTATCTTTCTTGCCTCTCTACACTCTTTTCAATGGATCTCGTCTTCCTAAATCTTATCACCTTTCTACCGAATACTCACTTGGACATAGCCAGCCCATGATTTTCTAACAACTTGTTGAGTTCCTCTACCGTCAAGCCAGCTTGGACAGTCACCTGTTTCTCATCATGATTAATCTAGAATGTAAAAGAGGATTATCAGTATTTGGGGATGATCAAAGGTTGGACCTTTTTTCTTTGACAGGGGTGGGGGGGTTGGAAATTTGGCAACTATTTTTAGTGTGACTTGATTTAGTTAAGCAGAGATTTTCAAAATAAAGTGAAGACTCCTTGAAGTGGTGGTGTATGGACCCCGCGCCACATAGTTGCACTAAGAAGAACCAAACTTGTTTCATGGTTGTTTAAAAACATAATGCATTACTTAATTTCTATCTCACTGGAAGTAACTCATAAAAGCAGTTATGTAATTACCTAGGGTGAATCCAACATGGTTTCATTTTAATAAGCTGATTTTTAATCCATCATGCTCATTATGTGCCCAGCGTTATCATAACTATCATCATCATGAATTCCCTTTGGCTGTAGTGAATTATTCGCAGGCTTGGAAATTCAGCATGGAATTTTTGGCTGTTTCTTGGTGTTTTGGAAACCATAGTTGGTTTGCTATTGTGGTGGGTCCCAAACAAAAGGGCCAAAAGATGATGATGATGGTGGTGGTGGTGGTTTAAGGTGTTAATCGGGGTCTTTTCAACCTTTAGTATTGCTACATTTTGGATAATTGCACCCATCCACAAAACCAAGAAACTTCTAAATAATTTGAGGGTTAATTTTTGGTCCAGGGCTTTTGTGGGTTTTGTTGGAAGCTCCAGAACATTTTGGGGTTTTTATTTTTGCCTTCATTCAATGGTCCCGGCCACTTAAAAGCTGAAAGGACGCTTATACAAGAGTGACTATATGGTTACATAATAAAGTCTGCAAAAAAATATTACCCTTCCCAAATGCAATTCAAGTTGTGGAGTTATGGGTGGTAAAGGGTATTTGCATGACTCATGATAGGTCCTTTTTTCCCTATGAAATATGAAATGGCTAATTATTTCCTTGTGAATCATGATTTTCATAGTAGCCGTGAAGCATGATTTTGCAAAATCATTTTCCATGAAACAAGAAATAAATGCTTAATTCTCCTTTTTGCTCTGAAGTGTGAATTGCCATTTTTTAAAAATTACATGAATTGTGAAAAGATGAATTTATTTCCTGTGAAACGTGAGCTAGACCCCCCTTTACCACCCCCAATATGAAATACAGTAAAACCCCACGTATAAGAACCTAAATTTAAGAACCTGTCAGGCTGAAAGTTTACTTTTAAGCACCCTTCACTTAAGAACCATTTCAGGCTGAAATTCCAAAGTAGGTTCTTCATTTCCAAAGTACAATAGAAAACAATAACAGGTGCATAACTTAGCACTATTTTGTATGATTTATGTGCCTTTAAAGTTTGCACTCTACTAAATTCCATGTAACTAGCATGAAAATGTGTGAATAATTTAACATCAAAGGCCATGCCCACCAATACAAGTACTTTTTTTCTTACCAAAAATTAAGAACCCATTTGAGAACCTATAGATAGCCTAATTTCAAGTTAAGCACCATTTACATAAGAACCTGTTCAGGCTGACTTGGAAAAATCTAGGTTCTTATACATAAAGTTTTACTGTAATGAGATTGTTGTTCATATATACCACAAAAATTGATGATATTATAACATACAAGATACATCCATAAAAGTAATTGACAAGTTATAATTGACATAGTTCTAATTATGACAGAGAAACAGAGAACAAAAATTGAAGTAAGAGTGTTAAATTAACATGCTTAAGGAAATAGCCCAATTTTCATTGACACGTGTGTAAAGCACTGAGCATAAAAATCAGGTGTTATTGGTTTAGGTTTTCTTTTCCTTTGTTTACGAGTTTGAAATAAAGGAAAATAAGTTTAAAACAAAGATATGCACCAAAACATTACGTTATCATCAAAGAGAAACTTTAGAATAAAGACCTAAGTGACTCGTGCTGTAACATTAAATTCTTCTTTTGAGTCACAAGTATATTCAAGGTAACTTGGAAGGGAAATTTAGCACTTTATCAGCTGGTCACTGAGGGCTTATTTCCACGCACTTGTAACTTCAATATTATTATTATTCACCTCCAAAATATCTTTGTACTTCTTCAAAGAGATCATATATTCCTCTGTACACGCAATATCGGATGGTGAAAGGCCTCCTCCAACTACTCGAATTCTCTTACGTAACTTCTGGGCTACCTTGAGAATCTAAATGAAATTTAAAAAGGCAAAAACACAGTGTTGGAATCTTTTACATGATACATCGACCTCGATAATCTTCATTTGACGTAAATAGATGGAACGCAAGCTAAATCCACGGTTTTAGTCAACGATCAATACTGGCCCTTAGCAGGCAGTACTTGGAAAGTTAACAAGCGAGTAGAGAACTTCATACCTCTCTTATCTCTTCAGTGGTTTCTGGCTCAAAGTACAAAGCTGGCTGACACGAATATGTTTCCGACCAATTTGTAAATTTGAAGTCTTTCTGACCGCGCGCTAAAACATCTTTCACAAGAGCTTCGATTTCATCCTGGGCCATGATGACTGTGGAAGAGATGTCACTCAGTTACACAACGAATAAGATTGTTTTTCCAAGCAGTTGCGTCCCCAAACATAATCAAAACATAACGCGCTTTCGCACGTGATTGCAAACTAGCCGGTCGCTGCTGTCTCGTCTGCTTCGTTTGTATTTCGTCATTGTTTGTATTGGGTCAAAAGACAGGTTTCTCACAAATTGAAAATTATTTTCTTGTTAAAAAATCCAGTTTTAATTCTTACAATAATTAAAAGACATGGGATAAGTTCAGTACGCAGAATTACATGAACTTATCTGTAACAGGTCAAAATATCTGTTCGGAGGACCGGACGATTTGAGATCTTTTTCCAGTATTTGTTGTAAAAGTTTCTTATTTTCCTGCTTCTTATTTTCTAAAAATGGTATAATTACTCATTTTAACGGATTTTTACCCTAAAAAGGCCACCTTTTTCGAGGTTTTCAATGAAATTTTCGAGAAGGTAAGTTTTTATCCCTATAATTTTCGGATCACTAGATTTTCAGCTAGGAAATCCGAACAGATGAAAAGTTTTTAGTTTTTTTTTAGTTTTTAAGTGGTTTTGAACTACCGGTATATCCTCGTTGGGTGCCCCTGTCTGTATGGTAGGTTTTGCTATTTCATCACCTTTGCAATGAACATTATTGAACGGAAAGTCATTTATTATGCAATTCCATCAAAATAAATATGAACTTTTAAGTATTATCCATCAAAAAAATTTTCATACATCACTACTGTTACTGATTAGTTTGCATGCGCAGGGTACCTCAGCAGGGGGATAATGCCCAACTGTAAGCAGGTATTAAAACAGGGCACCCAACGTCAATTTTCGGAAAATATCTGTTCGGAAGACGATTTGATATCTAGAATTTTCGGAACATTTGTTGTAAAATTTCTTGCTTGCCTGCCTCTCCTAGGATTTTCGAACATCTAAAATATGGAATAATTGCCCATTTTTAACGGATTTTCACCCTAAAAGGGTCACCTAAAATTTTCGGGAACCTTTTTTCTGGCTGAAATTTTCGAAAATGTAACTTTTTATTCCTATAATTTTCATATCACTAGAGTGCAAGGCTTTTGCACTTCCCCATCTGATTACAACAACAAGGAATGAATTAAACTGTCTTTGTTCAGCTGTCCCCAGCTGGTAGGAAAACGCCTTCGGAGGGCAAGGTATGTATGTACAATGTAACAATAACAAACTGCATGTCATGTAGTAATACATGCAAGTAACTGCTGACACTGGGTTAGAATGTCTTGCTAGGCGGTATACTATTTCCTTAGATAATACAAGGACAAAGCATTTTTTACGAAAAAAAAACACTCCTGTTTAGTTACCCTGGCCTTTTGGAAACCTAAAGAATGACCCTTAGCAATAAAAAACCCAGATATAACTCCTAACAAATGTTGCTAAAACTCAGGATGTCCCGCTGGACGGTACCATTTTCTCCGGTAATACCGGCCAAAAGGACTGGGCCACTTTTATGAATAAAAATATTCCTATACAGTTATCCTAAGCTTTCTCGAACCAATCTCCAAGCAAGCGAGACTGAACGCCGCTGTAAGCACTTTCTTGTCTCTTATGAAATCATGGCATGACGTTAATGTCTCTAAATAAAGGCCCCGAGGGGGTGTCTCATTTTTGTCTAGGACTACTCTGGCGCATCGTTTCTGCAAATTAATTACGTCTTGGACGTGCGTCTTCGGTTTGCTTCATGTCCCCAAGACAATAACCCCCGTAGTCAAGTATTAGCTGGATAAGTGAGTTGTAAAACAAACTTGTCAGCTTTCAGTCACAGACATAATTTATCTGTTCTTTTCAAAATGCGAAGTCGCTTTCCTATATTCGATACCGTTATTTAAAAACAGTTGTCTATCTTTATGCCAGGTAGTTTAGTATCGGCTGCAGAATCAAGCTGAACCTCAACTGTTCTCACATTCAGATTTCTGCCGTTCAAGCAGTTAGCCCCAAACTCATCCTGTAGACAATCGCTAGCAGGGACGAGAATCATCAGCAAACGCAAACGCAAACACAACTTACATATGAGCTTCTGGGAACGAAAACTCGAACTAACCCTATGGCTATGTGGAAGACGAGCTCAGAGCACTAGCCTAATCACCAATTAACCGACTGCTGCTTCAGCCAAGAACACTGAGATACGCTTTAGAAAATAGAAGTAGTTGATTATGTGACTGAAAAGGAAGCAGCGTACTTACCACGGAAACTGCGAGGTACTGTTCTCTGTGACGCAATCAGCAGTCAAATGAAAGTTATGCTGTTTGTTAGCTCTAATCAATGGTCAACTTTCTGTACGAGTCACAGAGCCGTGAAATCTCGATATTTTGACACTTTTCCAATCGTGAGGTAATGAACCGTTCACCCGCTAGATCATTCTTTCAGTTGACATTTGCTTGAAAGAACTAACTTTGATCCAAGCGCACCTGTAAAATGGATTAAAGATAAGAAGGCAGTCTTTGCCAAATCATTGATGTCGTATCAGAGGATTATAGTTTTTGTTCGATACTAGTCAAAAGTAAATCAATTGCGGTAAAGATACAGTCCAGTTCGGAACATCAGGTTAAATTTTCAAAGCTATTCCCGGCGTTGTTTAGCATTGGTCACCCAGTGAAAGCCCTTACATAATGGAGACCGCAAGACATGGATGGGCGGTTTTGAGTATTTTTAGAGTCCGGGGTATTCATTTTTAGTGCCTATTAAAAGCCATCTGTGCATGATTTTAAAAAAACCATGATCGTTTATGATTTTTCCAAAAAACTGTTATCATTAAATAGTTTGGAAATGAATAAACTGACGATGAATGGCGAGATTTAGAATTTTAGACCAGACGTCACATTCCCATGCTCAGTTTAGAACAAGACGCTACGGAGCGTACACTTCGGCGTCGTGGTTGTGGAACTGATTAATTGTAAATGCGGAGGAATAGTAAGAAATGAAATATGGTAAGAGTAAGGTGTTAATTTGTGAAATTATGGGATTTGTCAGGATATTCTGAAAAGAGCAACATCCAAGAGGCCTACTTGCCAAAAACTAGCATTTCGGGACAAATTGTCTCTGAGATACTAGCCCAGTTATGTTCTGATGACTCCATACAAATCCTTCTAAATTTGACTTAGGTCTAAACGTTTAGACCCAGGTCAAATATGAGGTTACTGGCGGTGAATAACAAGTCTAACAAAACAAACAGTGAAAAAAGAATTCTCTATTTTTCTTAGTCATATCAGGCTTCTGAAACAGCAGAGCAGTCTCATGTACTGATTAAAGTATGTAAGGCATGGGTAAGGAGTCAATTACGTTGAGCATGGAATTGGCTAATTAAAACTCAATGTTATGAGTTCGAATGTTTTGAGGATAATTATTCACTGACTATCAGCGCGCAGGGATGTCGGATTAACTCAATGAAGTTTAATACCAAAGAAACATAGCCTTCACAGCTTTAAAACACAGCATCCGCCAACACAAACTTGACTTGAACTTAAGTAAAACTAAACAGCCTCTGCCAATAATAACAAACTCTCACTTGAACTTCAGATATCTTACGGCTTCCGCCAACTTGAAACACAGAACTTGAAAATCGACCTTCGTCACACTTGACTAAACACAGCAGTCCAGCTCGTGGGAAAAAAAACTTAGATCGTCAAAAGAACTCCCTTGGAACTTGTATACCGTTTGACATAAGGTTCTAGAAAATTCTAAACAGGCGAACAGTAGTAGCTTTTCGACATATTTTATGATTTCAAGCTTGAGCTTGCAACAGGTATTCACGCCTGCATCTGTCTTGCATAAATATTAGGGAGTTTTTAAAAGATACCACGACGACTGACAACCACGAAAACGTCGCATGGAAAAATGAATTCACTTTTTTTTCAGTTTCTATCGTGGCTATTCCAAATCACTTACTTTGTCAAATGCAAGCGAACTCTTCAGGAGCTGAATTTCTATCAGCCATAGTTCATGAAGAGAATGAATTTTGTCATTGTTTGTTTACGTCCCTCACAAAACATGACTGATTAGGCATTTTCACGAGTAGTTGTGCAGTTGACGGCAAAGAAATGTACAAAAAAGTGTAATGCACGTGCAAAGCTTTTTTTTTTACCTTTTCAAGCTATTACTTATTTGACTTTCTCGTCGCCGCTGCATCTTAAACTTCTTATTATTTACGATTTATTGTGACGATTCAAAAACAGAATATTCTCGGGGCAAGTTGAATTGCTCCTGCTGATGGCATCCCAAACGTTTTTTCGACTCATCGGTAGTTCCTTCGTTTCTGGTTAGGAAAGTAGAAAATAAAAGTTTCCTTTGCGCGCACAATCTTGGTGAACGAACCGGCAAGTGTGACAAGACAATAGCCGTCGCGTACGAACTCACGAAAAGAACTCAGGAGAAACTGTTCGCCGATTGGGCACAATAATACAAAGCATTTTTCGTGCCCAATCAGGGACCGGCATCCGCTTGAATTTTTGGAAATAGTTCGATGAGAGTCGGTACCCAGGGGCTCTTTCATCCGTACTTGAAAACTTTTGTCCCGCCTTTTCTCCCGACCTGGCTAACTGCCCCTGGGTCTCGGAGGATGGACTAAACTCGAAGTGATCTCAAGATATCACGAAGTAGTCCGGTCTCATTTTCGTGAAATGGCCGAAACAAGCCTAAAAGTCACGAACTTGCACGCCCAATCTTGTCTCGAAACTAGTGCATCATTTGATTCGTGTCCAATGGATCCGATGGACTCCATCGGAACGACTTTATACCCCCTCATCCAACATGAGTGAGATTTTTCTAAGTCTCTCACGAATAGAAAATCAACTTCCATCGGAATCTATTCGTGTCCAATGCATCCAATACACTTGGTAGGACTACTTTACACCACTAGACTTCCGGTTTTCCGATGGAAAGCAAGGGAATACGACTGGATTCTGGTCGACAGTATTGGACAACCCTCATCATTTGATCACTATTTTTCATATTTCGAACTACCCTGGGTGGCAGTAGCGCAGTCGGCTAATCCCTCAACTTAGAGTCTCCTCTGATCTGATGGGTCACACAGGTGAGTCGGTTCAAACCCCGGAAAAGCCAAAATAATAATTCTCTTCCTCGAAAAAGTTAAAGAATAAATCAAAGAAATCGAAGTGATCTCGAGATATCTCGAACTAATTCGGCTCTCACCTCGTCAAATAGCCGAATAAAACCACCCGATAAAGCCGAAAACCTACAGACTTTGTGTGCCCAATCTTGTCAAAAAAAGTCAACTTTGATACGTTCCTGAGCGTCGCAAATAAACTTCCTTCGTGGAAACAATCATATCGCTGGGCCGAAAAGTCCCAAGTACATATTTACTGAAGGACTTGCCATTTCATTGACTTATTCTAGTTTTGGCTTTAAACTAGGGGTTTTTCCTACTCATAATTCCGAATAGATTAGCACCTCTGCGGTAGGAGTCACCTGAGTTTGACTTTTGGGAGCCTGTTGCATAAATCTCAAACGTAAGACACACCAGCTAATCCTTATTTCAAAAAGTACAAATTATTAGCTACAAATGCTCTACTTTTTTCACCACTCTTATATAATTCTATCTCGCTCCAAATTCGCATACTTCTTCAGTTTTCAAAGAACTGACAAAAGTAAATAGAAATAATTTCTATTCTGTTGAAAAACGACTCATCTTTTGCACAACTTTAACCCGAGCCTTTAATACGCCGATGGAATGCAGTCGAAAGCGGGTTTAAAGCGATCAAAGAAGGACTAAATTCCCTCCAACTACTAGAAAATATAGCGGGAAGCGGCCAGAGAAGTCAGAGAAAACGTTTCGTCGTTTGGAGAAGGTCTGGAAAAGGTACTTGGTCCTGGATTCACTGAATTGGGGAAAATTCAAATGAGGGATTCGTTCGAGAAGCAATATTGTATGGTTTCCTGACGGTGGCGGATGACCGTCGAGTCAGAAGGATGACCGTCGATTGGTGTCCCAAAAACAATGAAACGGCATTCACGTTGGTGTTGTCCTGATTAAACGCTTTTGTTCCAATAAATTTACATAGATGCTGGCCACGTGAGTGAAAACACTCTATTGAGGGTCGCTGACTGGATTCAGCTGTACGGTGATGCCCTTCAGCTGTCCTTCTCAATTTTCTAAACATCAGCCGAAGCGGGGTAAGTCTCTTTTGGGTTCCTTTGTATCATCTTCAAATGCATACCTATTATTATTTTAGCACAAAAACGTGTTAAGGTCGACAACGATCACTCGATCATTTTATAAATCCTCAATAACTGCTAATTGCGTGAAAGTGTAATGTTCATGGAGAATGTTGATGGAGATCACTGTTTCTCAAGCCTGATCGCACTGAAACAGCTCAGTTCAGTCACAGTTCAGTTTTTAAGTGTGGATCGTAGTGGATATTTTTACACTGATTAAATCTGTGAAGTTAATTGTTTTAAGGGTATGAGGAGTGTAACCCCATGAATCAGAGATTTTTAGTAAACAAAGTAATTGCACTTTTGAGCTTTCGTCAAACTCAGGTGGTTGTGAGTTTTAGGTTTGATGTTTAGACTATCTTGTTTGTGTTTTTGCGGTGACTCGAATCTCGATTTGAAATGCCTGTATATGATTTTCTTTTCAAAGTTTAATGATGAGAATTTGTGCTTTAATTGCATGAAATCGAGTTTTTTTTTCGTATGCCATGATTTAAAGGTACTTGAAGTTATTCATAACTTGTGATCAATAATAGATGGTATATAATTGTTAAGAACTTCCGTGATTGTATTTTAGTGTTGTTGAGAGAAGATGGTGATGACCAGCTTTTAATTTCACAAACAAAACTAATCCTAAAGGAAACATTGATGATAGTGCATGTCCAGCATTAATTAAAACAGTTTGGCCTTCCTGATGCAACATAGCAGCTTAGCCTTCTAAGGCTGTGGCTCTGTGGGAATTTTAATTCTCCAGGTGTTTCAGAGGGAACTAAAAATGAGCTTTCAGATATTGTTTGACCCCCTGTTTAGAATTAAGCCGTAAAAAAGTGTGGCCTTCCTGATGCAACAGAGCAGCTTAGCCTTCTTAGGCTGTGGCTCTGTGAGAATTACATTCTCCAGGTGTTTCACCCCCTGTTTAGAATTAAGTAAAAAAGTTTGGCCTTCCTGATGCAACAGAGCAGCTTAGCCTTTTTAGGCTGTGGCGCTGTGAGAATTTTATTCTCTAGGTGTCTCAGACGGAAATAAAAAATAGCTTTATTTTTAAGACATTGTTTAAGTATTTAGTTCCCAGTATTGTATCGTGTTGCTCAAGTGCTCTTTCAAATATTGCAAGTGTTTCGCTTACATTTGAATTTAACCCCATCCAGATCCAATGAGGCCTTTAAAACTAACGCGTCAATTTTAAAAGTTTTTGCATAAGGCAGTTTCCGTTTGGCGGTTAGTGTTAGTTCTGGCCTAGAAGGCAGATTCCATAAAAAGGTTGCGTTTACATAAAGTTATGGAGATCTTGTAAGCACGAATTGAAATATATGAAATGCTTCATAAATTGTTTTGAACTGCGGATGAAGGTATAAAAGTGAACATGATCATCGCAGTAAAATGCGCAGCCTATTCGGTTACTTTTGCCAGTCTGAAAAGCGTTAATCAAATGTACCCGTCGGATACATCTAGAAATCCGTTTTGACCTTGCCTTGTGTTTCATTCGATCCTCGATCTTTTACAGAAAACCTCTTTTTGAGCAAACTGAATGACAGATACCCAGCCTATTTCCTATGCGTTCTCTCTTGATCCGTTGTCCGCCCGAAGTCTGGGAGAGAGCGAGCGAGTATTTCTCGGTCTTCGGTCGACTATTCGGAACTCTTCGGTCACGGTCACAGCGTCGGTCACAGCTCAAGGTAGAGTCCAGGATAGAGTCCAGCCTAGAATGCCTTAGGACTAGGCTGACAGATGCCTAGTAAACACACCTGGTAAAGGGAATTCGTAACCTTTACTGAAGTTGACCGAACCACTGGCGTTATCTTTAAGGCTGGCTAGTATGGCTGGCTATACTACTTTCATTATATTGTGTTCGTCTTGCATGATTTTGGCCTTATCAACACTATAATGAAATATATACCAGCACCTGAATGTAAGCTTGAATATCAATATTCAAAGCATTAGCTTTTTTATCTGATGTAAGAAAAGGAAAGGTAAAATAACTGCGGGAAATCATTCAATTTACTTTTAGGAGATAAAATCAGTAATGACACACAGCCTATATCAAATGTGCATGATGTTGTTTAATACAGTCTCAATCTATTCATTTCTCTTTACATCTCTACCAAATATTTTTGTCAATAAATACCGTACAGCAGCAATAATTATACTGACCCATTTTTCATCTCCGAAGCGCACGGTTTTCACTGAATTTCTTTTACGGGGCAAAAAAAATCTGGAATCATTACATGATCAGTAGCTTTCACTCTACACTGTAAACTGAACTTTGCAGATATTATTAAAGCAAACTTTTCTTCCTCTATCAATTGAATGAAATACAATATTGTTTTTCATGTAAGCCTAGATATTTATCGTAGTTTGAACTTCATTGAGAAATATTCGAGAATTAAACTCAATCACTTCGATTCACTCATAGTACTAAATTCTCTGTAACTATACTAGGACATCATCACCGTTAATAAATTTTCTGCATTTTAAGCACGATTTTGGTAAGGGCACAATGCAATATTTAGTTGAAGCGTTGAAAAAAACTGAGTAATTTATAGACTGAATTCAGCTCACCAAAACATAGTTTAGCTTTGCCCTCAGTTTTCTACGCTTAAAAATGTGTCGAATAAAGTAATGATTAAAATACCACAAAACAATTCCACCAAAATGAAAGGAAACTCTCTGAAAAAATGAATTCATTCCAAAAGTAAATACTTGCTCTTAAATGTGGCTTGCAATTTTATCAATACATAGAGTTATATTGGCCATAAAAAGGCACTGAAGTTGGGAACATGTACATTGGATAGCCAGTGTAAGATGGCTCGTAGGTTGGTTGCGTTGGCTGGAAATTTTCGTAGTTTTGAGGCGAGGACGATGAGTAGCGCAAATTTAACAAGAGCTGGACAGCAATCTGCTCTTCTTGATGTTTTTGATAGTAGTATTCCAAGAGAGAGTTTCCGGCACAACCTGGTGCAACTTCAAATGGAGAATGACTGGAATGGCTGAATTCCCCAGCACTGCATTCTTTTTCTCCTTCCGATTCGCTTTTCAGGGGCGAGGAATCAGTGCTTTCGCTGAAGAAACTGCTGTCGTTTCGCCTCAATTTCCCGGGAATTCTTCCTTCTTTCTGGTATTCACTCGACTTGAACTTTCTAACTGGTGGGTCCTCCAGCTGCGTAGAGCTTTCTCTTTTGAAGGATGTCAGCGTTCCTTGAGCCACTCGTTTCTTTTTTCTGGAAGAGCATGTACGGTGAACCAGATGCATTAGTTCTGGTTTGTCGCGTTTGAAGTGAATGTGCTCAAATTCCATGTTTTTGGACGGGTCGCCTTTTCCGTTAACTGGAACTTTACGGAAGCCATACAGGTTAAGCTGCCTCACAAAGCTCGTAAAGTTTCTGGTTTTAAACATTTCAGCACTCTCGTCTAGAACTTGCCGTTTGAATATTTCGCCGTCGGTGATAAGAATTGCCCCACCACTTTCTGACCAGCGTATGGCTTTACGATACTTGTCGTCACTTAGAAGAAGCTTCAACTTTGAGATGAAAGGACTCAAAGGTTTTCCTTTGACTGGAGTGAAATGAAGGCTCTTGGCCATGTCCATTTCTGAGCGGAGCACTAGAGTCGTTCCAAAAGTTTGTCGTTAATCTCTGCGAGAGAAAAGTAACGATTTCACAATTTAGCCAAAGCTACATATAAGCTTTTGTCTTAACCTTAACATATTTCTAACCTTTGACGAAACAAGTTCATATAATCTGGCGTTACATGCAGAATTTCTAAAGCAGGTTTTTCTTATTTGCTGATGAAAACAGCGTGTTCTTTACCCTTTCAGCCTTTCTTGAGAGTTCATTCTAGAAGTAGGAATTCATCCTAATTTAAACGCTGCGTTTTCTTTTATAAACAAACTGAAACAACCATAAGAAGCTTTGCAAATACTAGGTTTGCCCCTCCAAAGAAGGAAAACTTGAAAAGGAAAGCCTAAATGAGCGAAAATAGTAAAATTGTGTCTACACACCTTTGAGAAGTTGCGCTGTAAAACTCAACAAAAATTATAGAACAACTCTGCCTTTGCCTTGAAAAAAAGTCGGGTTACTTGCTGACGTTTGACAGGTCTTTCTACCAATCAGAAGACAGAGGAGACGTTCGATCTGGTTTCCAATTGGTCAGTTATCTGATAAGATATGTTTCAAATTGTAGCACTGTCGAAAAAACTGTCGAAAGCCATTGACGACTGTCTCTCGCAAACTCGTTCGCGCAATTTTGTTTGTTTGTTTTGTTTTGTGTTTTCATGTTTGAATTTGAAAAAAGGAAGCATGTTACTACGATAACTTTGATAATATCATCATGGTCCAGTATTTCCATGGCCTTGAAATAGAGCTCGTGTGGTCTCGACGAAGAAACTTGTTGGAATAGCTCCTAAATCATCTTGAAGTTTCCCGCGAAAACTACTTGAATTCATGAGGAAGCCGCTCGAGGGTTTCGAGGGCATTCGAGCTCCCACTCTTTCCCAAAAACAATAAATAATAAAATAAATAACTAAATAGATATTTAAATGAATAAATCAAATTGACCTTCGACCTTGAACTCTGCGTAAATGTACCCCCCGAATTCCCCCGAATTATTGTTGGGAATTCAGATGGTCAAAAAATTAACTTTCCCCTCCCGCAACAGTTATCACGTCACCCAAACCCCTCCCCTGGAGAGTCGCCCACGCTCCGCTTGTGCGTCAACAACTGATTTGATCGTTTTTCTGTTGATCTCTCTTCCTTGAATTATTGCGAGTGTCTCTCGTTTGTGTGAAAAAAAAGCGGGAAATTCTGTTTCCAGGGTGGTGAATTTCCCAAGAGAATGAATTAACACATACTTTAAACAGAATGGCTGACATGGAATACGACGATTCCACCTTCTACAGTTCGCGTCCCTTAGAAGAAAGATGGCCGCCATTGGGAGCCGCCGTGGATAATATCGCCGAAAATGGAGCAAAGAACTCTGAGCATCAGCGAAAGTGAGTGTTATTTTTCAGCCCATAACATCCCCAGAATGTTCCTCAATTTATTTTCCCTTTTGCTAGAAATTCAGCCGTCAAATTGCAATGTACGTTGCACGGTCGATTGTGTTTAGTGAGCGATTCTAAGTTGATTTGTTAAAGCTTGCAAGCTTCAGTTCAACTTGCTATACTTGTCACGAACTTTTTTTTTGTTATTCCTTGATGGTGTTACTTGTGATCTTCGAAATTTTAAAGCATACGGTACTTTTTTTGATGTCACCATTGGTAATTTTAGAGAGATTATTGGAATTCCCTTCCGTGGAAGAGATCATTTTCACGCGTGAACTATACTTGTTTTTCCTTCGGCGAAACGAAAAATTTCTGACATTTGCGATGCTGGCTTAGAAATTTATTGACATATCTCGAGTGATATCCTTCGAATTTAGTTAACTTATTTTATCCTAGGGCTACTGTTGTCATTCAAATACATTTAAGTCAGGATAGCTCTAATCTTTCAGCGAACCTTTTCCCTGGCCCTTCAATAATTTACGAGAAATAATTATTGTTTTCTTGATTTCCATGCATGGCTGGCCAACATAAAAAGGCAAACAATCAAATGCTGCAGAAGATTCTTATCCTGAGCGTGAATTTTTATAAATTTATAGTTAGTTTGTGACGGGAATTTAAAGTATCAATTTTTTTTTTCGTCAATCCCATTGTACGTGACAGTTTTTTTCCTCTTCTACAATTTCAGTGCAACGCGGAAATAAGGCAACCCAAACATCCCAGCTATTTTAGTGTAATGTAATTTTGGTAATAATGTTGTGAAGTGTTGCCTCTCTTATGACTGCAAGGTGTTTGGGTCTTAGCATGTAAATCCATGTGAGGTTTGTCTGTGGCTGCAAACTGGGGGTGGGTAGTGTCATATTTGGGATATACGTGCACAGGAGTGAGCTCTCACAGCGCCCGTCGACCCCTGTCACCTTCCTTTTGCTTTTAGGCCTAAAGAAAATTTTAGTTTTTTCTTTAGAAATCCTATTTTCACCTTGATCCCGGAATTTGCAGGTTCAGAGTACGGGCTCCCTTCAATTTTTCTTAGAGCATGTTGTCTTGTGTGGTCCTGTGAAGTTAAGCAGTTTAATCTAAAACGTTATCAGGGGATTTTGCTCCAGAATAGGGTATCACTTTGAAATGAAATAATTGATCAGTGTTACAAAGAAAGAGAATTTCTGGTCAACAGTTTGTGTAGGTCCATAGGATAGGCATTCCTGGTGTTCAGCCGGGAACAGGGTTTCAAAATGTAGCTAAAGATAGTGGCAAACCCCTACCCCAAAAATTTGCAGTCACCTGGCCAGCAAGGTGTCTGTAATTCCACTGAACTGTTTTGTGCATCCTAAGTGACTGATCTTTTATTGGATCCCAGTCAAAGAGTTGTGGTAGTTGATGATAGCTGGAACTACAGTTGACTCCTGATAATTCGAACCTTCAAGGGAAATCGAAAAAAGGTTTGAGTTATCGGGAGTTTGAGTTATCGAGAGTTCGAAGAAAATAGCCGAGAGTATGGTAAAAAACAGTTTTTACTGCTCATTGAACATTTTAATTACATTTAGTTGTAGAAATGTCAAGTGAAAATTAAAAGATACTTCTAGATTATAAAACAGAACATAACGTAACAGAACATAGCCTAAATGGATCATGTGTTTTACTGTTTTGAGAAGTAAAGCTGCTTCACGTTAGCCTGTGACAATGAACATCAGCCTCCACTAGTAAACTATACTCCTACAACACGTCAATAGGAAATCCAAAATTCAATGTTTCGGACGCCAGTAGACGGCTTTTTTCCCGACTTTTTAAGGGCTCAAAACATGGTTCGAGTTATTGAGGGTAAAATTATATAGAAAATGACCTGAGGGGAAACGAAAATTGGTTCAAGTTAGCGGGAGTTGGAGTTATCGAGGGTTTGAGTCACCGAGGGTAAAATTACAGGGAATGTACGACGGAAATCCAGGGGAAATCGATTTTGGTTCGAGTTAGCGCGAGATTCGATTAAGCGAGGGTTCGAGTTATCGGGAGTTGACTGTATCATCATTGCTTCCAAATCAATCTACTCATCACATCATTATTTTTCTTGAACACTTGTCACATAAAAAAATATTGTCCATTTCCAAAAAAATTGAAGAGCAACTTTTATTATTTGATATATGGACTCAGCAGTAACTTTCACTACCAAGTAGCTACCACAGCTGTGAATAATATTTTGCCAAGCCTATTGAAAAAACACTAACTCATTTGCTCCTGGGAAACACTTTTTGAAGTCCATCGAGCCATTTTCTGGTCACTGTACTATCTTACTATAAGGTGCCAAAACACTGTTTATATGTACATGTAGTGTAGGTCAACCACCTTGTCACTTCTGTTCCAGATGCAAAATATCAGCTTCAAATTTCAAGATAGTTTTTGGGTGTAAAAGTCACACAGCAGTCTCAGGTTTTACTTTTCCCTTTTTCTCCTCCTCTCATCTTTTGCTTTTCTTGCGCCATTTGCTTTTCTTTTGCTGGGTGGTTTTATTTCAATGGGAAAAGTTTTTGGGAAAGAGCTTTTTAAGGATTGTAGGATTAGATGGAAGGAATTGTAGCTACATTAGCTAGTGGAAAAAGAGTTTTGTAAGGATTTGTGGGTCAACTTTACATTGATTTTTGCCTTTTTCTATGGCCTCCTTGGCTGAATCTTGCTCATTCTTGCATGGTTTGAGACCTTTTTCTCTTGTACAAGTTAAATGACAAAGTTTTACTTTAAGACCATTAAAACTGATGACGTCACAAGCGGTACAAAGGACATGAATCAGCACAGGCCGTTTAGGGGCAGGCGGGTCAAATTCATCAACAGAGATGACCGTGGGGGCTTTCTTGTAACCAGTTACAAATTTCTTAAACTTTCATCTATTCATAAATGCATGCAGTCACATGGCTAGCAGATCAAGCCAGGGAAGTTTCAATCATTTCTTTTCACTCTTTGTGTTATAAGTCATGCCTGAATCAGAACAACCTGAAAGTAGTTATAGGTCTTTGTTACTTTATAGTTTACAAACTGTATATTGTGGATTATCATTCATTTAGTCACCTAAGTTACCATATAAATTTTAATATTCTACAGTCAGACAGGTGTGTGTCAAAAATATATCACTGTTCCATATGCATACATGTAAGGCCTTTTGACATGGTTTCCTTGACTTAACATTTAAAAACATTTTAGTAACACTTTGTTGTTATACTGTTTTAATTGCATTCTGGATTTTCTGTTGTGAGGGCAGTTGTTATTAGCTGAAACAGCATTAAAGGTAATTTTGACTGCCATTTCCATGGTTATGGTGCTGTTGAGAAAGAATGTATTAATCTGACTGCATCCCAGGAAACATGATATGATCTTGGTGGTAAAATAAGTTTGTTTGCATTAAAAACTATACATGAATGGGAAAAATTGAAACACGTCTAAGAATACTAAAATGAATTTTATTGAGTCCAGTGATTGTTTAAGTACATGCACACGTACCAAGTGTGACCCATTTGAGTTTTCCTATTCATGATTTATCATTTTTAGCTAAAACAAGAGCTGTCAGAAAGGTGGTAGGTAGCTTTATTGTTGAAGTAAGTAGCTGATCTTGCTATCTTTTGCTAAAGAATAAGAGAAACAGCCCAGCAGAGGGAAAAACAGAAAGTTCCATTGTGGTTACTTTAATTTGCTGGCTGCATGCAGACTTGTTTTGACTTTTGACAACCCTGTAAAAATAAATATTAAAGTGTTATTGTAGTAATATGTTTTTCCCAGGTACAGATGTAGTTTGTTTAGTCAGATTTCTTGTCTATATATAACTCATCTAAGTATTATCTTTTCCATTCTTCATCAGTTTGCGAAAAATTTTTGTCGCCAATATTTGCTGATTTACTGTGAAAATGTCAAGTCTTATATTGTTTTTGTGTTGTATCTTATCAACCAGTACTAAATTTTGCTTTTATCTTTTTATATTTCTTTTCACTCAATAGGCATTAATGGTAGTTTAAGTGAGTGTCTGTTTTGTGTGTGTGTGTTTTATTTTGTTCTTACGACTAAAAAATTTACATTTTTGTTTATTGTACATACTTATTTTACAGACTATAAAGAATGTGTTTCTCATGATTCAAGGCCCATCATTCTTCTCAGTATTCACATCTGAATATATTGTGCAAATCAAATATGTATTATATTGGTGGCCTGATATTTTTTTCCCAAAACAAAGCTTCGCCTGATTTTTATTTTACTTATTTTTTAATAAGCAGTATTTTAGAATTAACCTTTTCTTCGGTTTGGTGTTCGGAGTTCTTTGAAGTCCAAAAGTAACAGCACATTATCAGCTGAATATAAATTATAATGACTCTTTTGGGCCGGCTGGTATGACATGCAAATTGTATTCAAGTACATCTTCAAGTACATCTTTGAATGAAGGGTTGTACTTTATTTTAGGCTGCTTATAAGATTGCCTACAGGTAAGTTTTTAGAAACCTGAAATGCACTGTAACTACATGTGTACCAGCTTCAGCAGGATCCCTCAGGGTGTTCATTAGGCATTGGAAATCAGAAAATTCTCTGTTTACTATGCTTAATTCTCCGGCTAATGTTAAATAGCTTATGACTATTTTTTACTCAGATATGGGCCTCTATCCAAAAAAATACACCTTTCTCCTGGTACAAGAATTCTCAATAAAAACCGGCCTGGTCCCTGTGTATTATACATGTAGGCAGTCAGTATAAGTTAATGAATAATATTGCTACGTGTAGCTTTCTCCAGTCTGGTTTCTCGGGCTGTGTATTGTCATTAATTTAACATCTACATCAGTTATTAAAGATTATTATTTTCATTTTTCTCAATTCTGGACATTTTATCATGATTCTTTTCAGGTCAGATCAAGAAAAGCTGAAAGAGCTTGAGGAGGAACAAGAAGAATTAAATGGCTCCCTTCTCGCACTCACAAGTCACTTTGCTCAGGTTAGAAAATAAGCCTTACTACACGTAAGTGCTACAAAACTAGTTGAACTGGTCACTTCGAGCAGCTTACAGCTTACTGCGTACTGAGTACAAAGTTTCAGTCTGTCATACATGTAGATCCTAAACATCATTACTGAGTTAACAACTGCGGGAAAAGGCACAATCCAAAGGCTAAACAAAGCAACTGACCACCATGAAAGTGTCGTACTAAGCACATGGAGCTGATGGAAGCAAGGCTGGCTGTGCTTGCCTCACCACACTGATAGTTGACTGACAACAAGAGATCATGCTCCTTTTTGTTAACAGTGTTAAATTTCATTTAACTTCATTAAAAGGAAATGTAAACTGTCTGTATTGTTCTTCAGTTTCCATTTCCAAAGTAAACAGCATCAATACTCTGTAGATTAAGTTTGGTCACCCTGGTCAGCGTAGTGTGGAAAGAACGTTTGCTGATAGTAACTGTCTGTGACAGCTGCCTCTGGATGGGTGGTTATAATGTACCTTTATCATCATTATCACAAGCTGCAAACATTGTAGAAAATCAGTTTTACCAAGGGCAAGCTGTAGATAGCCTGTACTAGCCTGATCACAAGTCATTTTGACTGGTCCAAAAAAGTTTTTGGTGAGCCAGGGTTTATAGATTTTACTTGTACACTTGCACTTGTGCACTGTATCAGGGCTAGTAGTATTATATCCTAACATACAATGTACAGTTTTTCGAATCAGAGGATGCAATCAGAAATCTTGACAATTGTCCTTTAAAAAAGACAAAACCAGTCAGTCCATCAAGATTTGTTACCACAAATAGGGTTTCCACATCACTAGTCTTTACCACGTGTTATTTGTGGTTGGCGTCCTTCCTATAGCCTAATTAATAATAACTAGTAATGATAAGTATAGTAACATACAGAATAGATTTTGTCCCAATAAGAAGTTTATGCGTACATTTCATTTTGCAGGTGCAATTTCGGTTAAAACAAGTTGTGTCAGCCCCAGAGGAGAAGAGAGAGGTTTGTTGAAATTCTAAAACTCTAGTTCAAGAAGGGACAAACAATAAGTGCTGTGAGAGACCAAAATCACTTTATTATTTTTGCAACAACAAAAAAGCATTTGCTCTATATACATGTAATGTGACTCTCTAGTTTAAAAAAAATCTCTCTATCAAAACACCATTTCTAATAAAAAGCAACATCTTTCAACAATCTCAAAGGATTTGTAATATTTAACAATTATTGGATGAGGCTGAGTATCGTCTTAAGAATTATGAAGATCGAGGAGCAGCTGAGGTGGATAACATCCCCCAAGATCTCCATAATTCTTTAGATGATACGAAAGCTGTATCCAATAATATCGTTTTATTATTCAAAATAATTCCTACAATGTAGTTTAAAAACAAGGTAAAACAGGCTTACCTCCATGGATTTTAAGTTCATCTTCAATTGCGTGTTTATCGGCAAGTGTAGGAGATAAAGGAATGTTTAGTTCTGCAAATATTCTCCCAATAGCAGATGTCGTCCATCGAGTTGTATTCTTGCTGTTCTTGCTATGTTTTTGGCCAGTAGTTCACCTTTTTCTTTTTCGATGGAAATGTTCTGTAATTTTGTATTGCTCTGCACCAAAACAAATCAACATCATCTCCAGGGCTTCTCGGTCAGCTGTCCACTTTCCTGGCAATTATGCTGTAGTATTGATGTCATTTTTCACATATCAGAAATTTCTTCCAAATTTGGTTAACCGTAACTGGTTGTGGTGAATTATCTGTGAGATTTGAGCTTATCGGAAATGGAGAAATATTTTGAATGAATAATAATAAATATTATTTAACCTTAAGCCAAAAGTTGAAAATTAATTAACAGTGTACACTACAATACATACAGTGATAATGCACTCCTGCTCCTTTTTTAAAGAGTACTTTTGAAAAGCCACCTGAGTGACAGTGCTGCTATGGAACTCCCACTTTCTTGAAACAAAACAAGACACACAATACTCATTATATTTTATAAACTTTACATGCATTTCCTAACGCTGCATGTATGTGAAAATTTTATTTCAGCGTTTGCTGATGGAACTGGAGGAATTTGCATTTCAAGGTTGCCCTGATGTACGTGGTCCAAAGGATAAACAAAGCCCCCAGAGGACATTGAACAATACTGAACAGCAAAATGTGAGTTTATATATAACTATTAAATTTCATTTCATTAGATACATCTGTAAGCATTATCTGCCAGAACACTTGGCAAGTTTACCAGAAAAATTTCAACTACTGTTATTTGGCACAGGATCTGTAGATAGACCTGATTACCACAGACTTTATATTCACTGCAACAAAGTTATTTCTGTCAGGTGTTGGTACAACAATTTGCTTGCGCTAAGGTAGATTCTTTTCAGTCAACAAAATAATGGTCTTTTGTATTACAGTAAGTTTGTGAGGACATCACATCCGGCTACATTGTACGTGTAAGATTTGTGAGACATGTTTTAACCCAGTTGATCAATAATTATAACTTTATTTGGACACAGTAAAGTCCTTTGGGTAATTACAAGGAAAGAGGAAGAAAAAGCGAACTAAAAATGGCAATTAATGATGTTTTATAATAGAGTACAAGAATGTGTAAATTCATTGTTTTTGCATAATTTGCATATTCTGTGTAAAACTAGGTTAAAATATCGAAACTCAATGGACATACTTGCAGTTTTTAAAACCATGAATTTTATTTGATGGGAAATAGCCCAGTCAAATACCCCAAGTGTGGTTATATTCATTCTCTGTTGTGAAATAAAATACAAGGCAATGCAAGATTTGTTGAAACAAGACGTGTTTTGGTAAGTTATCCTATCCACTGAGACAATTTTTTTTACAGAGTTTGCAGGAGTATGAACAACAACTGAGTCTTGAGAAAAAGAAACAAGGAAGTCTGATAGGACAACTAAAAGATCAGTTGGAAGAAATGGAAAGATGTGTTGCTATGGTATGGTGAAACAATATTCACAAACTAAAGCTAGCATTCTCATGATCACTGGCCATGTGGGAGGAAGATGTTGTGGAGGAATTGTAATTTATGTAAAATAATGGGTTGTGTGTTTGTGGCTAGAGGAAAAGAATAAGGCTAAAATAATATTAAAAGTTTTACTTATTTAGTACTAGAACTTTGAGTTTAATCATCCCAATTGTCCATTTTTGTCATTCCTAAATATACAGTTGTAGTGTACAAAATAATGTTAAATAAATGGTGATCCTTCTCCTTCTTCCTCCTACTCTCTGCCTCCACTACATCCTCTACCGCTTACTCCTCATCCTTATCAAGGAAGATTGAAGGGCCTCTGCTCGCAGGGTACCTCTGCTCTTGCCCTTCTCCTTTTCCTCCTTAGCTAGTACGTTTCTGTTCAATTTAGACTTTGTCTAAAGGAAAAGTACCAACTTCTTCATGAAGTTCAAACTAGTATAGTCATGGCGCATTATTGAAGTCTGAGGGAACATTGTTGTTTATTTGGTTCCTATGCAAATTGTCAATAATTCTGCGAAAATTTTACTTTTGTAGGGAGGATCGGCAAATGTTAATGAGGACATGAGCCCGGAAAAGCTTGTAGAAAAACAAAGAATTGTGATTGAGGAACTGAAGTAAGTGGTATGATGTTTGTTTACATACAAGTGTTAAGTATTGTTCAGCAATATAACTCAAACCAAAAACGTAAATGTTTAACCTTGTTGTTCAAAGGAACCATTTTTTAATGGTCATTAAAATTAATAAACAGGCTTCAGTGAAATAATTTTATTTATAAAGATAAACAAATAAATAATATAAATTTATTGATTTATTGAATCTTGCTGCTGTAAATGTGACATCAAGCTGAATTTTGTACTTTATAACATGGTTAAAGTTAATAATAGTGATTATTGATATTTATAAATTTTCAGGAAATAAAAATGAAAAAAAATGAATGAGTAAATAAAAAAACTGTTTATCTGTCAAGGTTTTTGAAAATTAATAAATTTAATCAGTTTACCATTCACAATAAAGTTTACTAACCAATTTAAAACATAATAAAATTGCGCTTCAATTCAATTTGCCCACGCAAAACATTTATTTAAAATTTTAAATTTTTATAAACTGTATACTTCGCAAAATGTTCTGTGATAAGATTAACTATAAACAACTAAACTGTTGACCCCTTGCTAAGCAGTGCTCAGAGAACAGTGGCATGTGAACTGGTGTTATTGGGAATGAGACTAGCAGCGGCAGATATACGGTATTACAAACCATCCTTAAATTGACTTAATAAATTGTAAATTACACTAAGTTGATAATAAGTCTAAACTATTTTAAACCAAGTCTAAAAAATAAATATGGCAGTGTGGTCTTGTCAAAATGATTTTGTCCGTCTCAGCAACCAGAAATTGTTACTGCTCACAGTCCATGGTTTGGCTGATTCCACATTTTTGATGTTTACTTTTTTATTGAAATGTGACTGTAACCCCCCTGTAAGCCAGGCCAAAGATCATGATATTTAATAATACATTGTAGACAGTACAGATAGTTTCAGCTATCATAAGCTATCATTAAAGCCACTATATTGGATTAAACCAAGGAGTTTATAATGACGAGTGCCATGGATCCAGAACTAAATGTGAGCTTTTAAGTGCCAAAGTTAGAAAATGCACACATTTTACTCAATTTTATCATTGTTGAGAAACATTGGACTTGTCTCCTATTACTTGACAAGGCCTCAAAACCTCAAGTTGTTTTTTTTCTTGTATTCGTCAGTACGGAGCAGCCACCTTTGTTGATGTTAGCCATGTTTACCCTGTTGACTCAAGGAAGAATGATAGATAGATAGTGACTTAATTTAGCGAGGGTAGCACATGCAAGTATTAAGAACTGATAACCCAGTGGCCCTTGAAAAGTTAAAAATACTTACACTTATTCTGCCTATCATGAACTTAAGTCATAAAAATGTATTAAAAATGATATAGATATACAGAATAAAATATACACTATATCGTGATAAGTTAGGTTGCAAAAACGGTATATGTTAAAAGTCCTTTTTCTGAGTAACTAAAAATTTCTTGAAAAGGTTTTTTTTTATGTGAGTAGCTGTCCAAAACTCTCAGAGGTCTTGGTAGAGAGTTCCAATCCTTAATAGAACAAACTGTAAAGGAATGGCCATCCTCTGTGGCATAATTATATCTAGGACAAAGCAAATTTAAATCACAGTGTCTTGTATTCCTCATATGCATGCTAGAATTTGTAACTACGGGGTAGAAGTTCATTCATATAATTAGGAGTGTTTCGTTTAAGTCTCCTGTGAATGAGTGCACATTGATTTATGTGCGACTTCCTTTAATAAGGATTCCAGTTAAGGGTATTAACAGGGGCTTAAAAGTATGTTCCTAAGATGCAAATCCAAGAAATGAATTTCAGTCTGCCGAGTGAAACAAACAACATCCCTGACAAAATTAATACGGGCTATCTGACACGACTTTCTTTGCACGCTGATTAAACAGGTCCACGGATCTTGCGTTAAACGGGGCATTTATGGTCACTCTCGCTGCCCTGTTTTGAACTCTGAGAATGCTGTCTAAATTTACCTTGCTCATAGATGGCCACACACTCAATCCATAACGGAAAGATGGTTTGAGTACAGGATCAAAGTAGAGCTCTTTATGTGATCTTTTTAAGTATGGACTAATGTGCTTGAGAAGTCCAATTTTCTTTGATAACGATTTACGTAAGCATCTAATTGAGTGTCAAAGTCAAGATCTTGCTCTATATGAATACCGAGAAGCTTATGGCTTCTAACCTGTTGAATAATAGCCCCATTCAGAGAGAGATTCAGATTTGCTTCAGTACTGTCCAAATGTTTCCGTAATGAGCAGGTATCATCAAGAGTTGTGACAAATTTAACATGTTCAAAGCATGTACAGTGTTTTGGTTGATGATAGTTGAAAAGAGTGAGTGCATGATACATTGTAGTTCAGGGCAAAGAAGCCATGATATTTGAAGCAATAATCGTGATTGTTTGGCCTGGCCTTGATAAGACTGACTAAATCCCTACATTGTACTATGTAGACGTCCTTTGGCTTTTACTTCTTTCTGTTGCTGTTGGAACAAATTAAAACACTTTGACAGGGCTGACACTTGATCCTGCTAAAGCTAAAATTAATAAAATTAGTATTAAATTTCTTGTGAACATACACAATGTAGTCATTTTTCACTCAGGAAATAACTGGGTATTTATAGGTTTTTAAGAAAACAAAATTCATGTAAACTTTAAAATACTTTTTTTAATGAAAATAATGTTCAAAGCAATATTTATGTTACAGGTCAAAATTAAATTTAGGTTAAAATTTGTTAAACTAGGTTGTTTCTCTATTTCTTTTGTCTCCTAGCCCTTATTTAGGGCTACCTGTAACATTAATATTTTATAAACACTGTCTACTTTTTTCCTATTAACTACAAGTGCTCAGTAATTTTAAATTACCGAGAGATTGGCCTAACATGTGCCACCTTGTACATTGCAAATTGCAGAGAGTATCAACTTAGATTAGATTATAACCAATATAACCTGATTTTAAGATTTTACCTTTAAACATTGTTTGTTGATCATTATATTACAACTTATGTTAGAAATACCTCTAATTACTCTTGAATTCTTGAATCATCTTCAATGACATCCATGTAAACATTTTTCCTTATTCTTAATGACTGCATGCTGTTTAGCTTTACAATGTACATTCAAGTGGCTGCATCTGAAAAATGATTTATCTCTGAGAAGAAGTGCTAAATATTGTGTTTTTCTTCAGGACAAAAATGGGTCTCAATTTAGATGGAATAGAAAAGTTGAGGTAAGAAAATGTTTACCAGGCACCTTCAGGGTTGTCCCTTCCTTCAAGTTTGTATTGAGTAAAATGACAGCAAGTAAGATTATTTCTGAAGAGAGTCTCTGCTTGACAAAAAAAAAAAAAACAAAAAAATAACATCAAAATGCAAGAGATGGCCAGTTTACTTTTACATTTCAATCAATTTTGCATGTACATTTGTATTGTTCTTTCGCCAGTTAATTTTTTATTAACTTTCATTTCTCTTTTGTTTTAGCAATGATGATGTACGAAAAAATGTTGATAATGCTATAGGCGAGGTATGATTTTGCATTTAGTTTGTCCATCTTTACCATGTCCTTACTGATAGAATCCCTTAATTAATGTAAGGAAATCATTCACTCCAGTCATCAAAAAATAGTTGTTTGTCTTGTTCTGATCTCTGTGTGTTTTTTGGACCATACATTATTTTTTATCAGCATTTAATAAGCTGTCTAAAAGCTAGTATGACTACACAGGTCCTGTTATATTTGCTGTAAGATCTTAACTTCAGTTATTTAATCCTGGATATACTCTACTCCAATTATATAAAAATTGACTTGATAAGTCTAAGCTGTGTAATGTAGGTTTGAAAATTTAAAAAAAGAAAATTAAAATATATTGATAATTTTGACATTGTTATTAATATTCACAGCTTATGCATCCGGTGAAGACAAAGGTATGTTCAGTTATAATAGATTGAGAATTGTGCAGGGCTGTCAGTAAAAGCCAGTGGCTGGCCAAAACTGCCAGCTAGTTAGTCTATAGCTGGCTTCATTTATCTCTTTTTTACCATAATAAATAATTGCTAATGAAAAAACAACATAACATCTGTGTCTGAGAGGCAAGCATTGATGAGCACATTTGTTCGGTGGAAAACAGCCTTTGAAAACCCCTTTAAGTACCATTTCCAAGACTCCCAATTTCAAAAATTTTCTGGGGAAGGATGGTGTCCCCAGAACCCCCTAGAAGTCCTGGCTTCCTGCCCTCGCAAACTTGTTTAGTACAAGGTTCAAAGCCAGCTACTATTCAGTATTAGCCGGCTACTATAAAGCTTTTTAACAGCCCTGATTGTGACAGCATTTGTTTTCCATTTACTTTGGTTTTTACCCATGTAATATTATTCAGTTCCAAAATTTAATGTTTTTTTCATTGTTCCCAACCTTACATATTAGGAGGAACTTGTTAAGCAACTCACTACTCAAATTGCAGATTTGGAGAGATTTGTCACATTTTTGCAAGGTGATTTACATGTATTCTCAGTGAATTGGTTACTATGTTGTGCATCATCACTTTCTTATTTAAATACAGCTGTCTTTTTAACATTGCTTGCTTATGCTCAATAGTAATCAGGTGCATCTCCGGGCATATAATCCACTCATGCAGTAAATGTGAAGATTTAATTGTGGACAAAATTCTAGCCTGAGAAAACAGCCGAAATTTGGCAAAGCTACCAATCATTAGTTTCCCCTCCAAATGACATCTGAGAAATGAGCGCAGAAATTCCATATTGATGACGTGTCACTACCCAGTGGCACGACCAATCAGAAGCACTACCCAGACCTGGGTAGTGACGCATCATCAGTATTGAATTTCTGCGCTCGTTTCTCAGACATCATTTGGCGGGGAAACCATTGTTAGCATCGCCAAATGTTGGCTGTTTTCTCAGGCTAACAAAATTCCTGTTGTTGAGATACTTTGAATCAAAGTTCAACAAAAAATAGAGCTTGATTGCTTTGTTTCGTGGAGGTACACTATAGATTTCCCTTCTCTACCAAAATTTAATGACGTTAATGTCAGTGCCGTACATGAAATAGAATTACATCATGTAAAAGATGTGTCCTCGACAATACAAAGGTAAATTGCACACAAGCAGTAATAACTTTACACCTGAAAAAATGAAAGGGCACTTGCACACCTTAAAATTAACGCTTTTATTAATGGTGGAGTTCAAGTCTTAATTAACGTGTAAATGTATTTTATTTCAGATGTACCTTTGTAAGATGTCTCATTTTTTCTTGTATAATAGCTCTGTGAATAATATTATACTATAGAAATAATAGTGCGTCACATGTGACTTACATGTATTGCAGGTGAAGTTGAAAATGCTGAAGAGAGAACCGAAAGAGCCAAAGCATGTCCATGTCCTGTGCATGCAAGACGTAACAGAAAGTCACACAAAGATCGACTCAAGGTAAGTAGATGGATATTGATAAGAAAGAGTTTTCCCACAAAGCTATCATTCATGGTCAGAAATTGGGCGAACTCGTTGTGTATTTCCATGTCCAGGAAATCCCCAGTTATAATTATTTCATATATCAATGTCTTTGGGACTTCAGGAAAGCAATGAAATTTTGAAGGGAAATTGGAAAGTATGGCCTCAGAATAATTTGTAGAATTGTTTGATAGTTTGTTTGAGGGAGGGGAAGCCACTTAAACCAAAAACCTTGTTGTTCAACATCCGAGTTCAGCAAAATCAGCCACATGATCATCAAATAACTTCCCTTATTGTAGAATCTCCTTTCCACTGTTTTTGGGGTAAGAGGAAACATAATTTTTATGTTTAAAAAATTATTTAATAAAATGGAAGGAGTCTCTGCTTCTAGGGAAAAAGGTTCTGTGAAAACAACAACAACAATTTACAACATTATACTTTGCAGGTCGTTTAATGTGACTCACTATGAAATTTATTAACAATCGTTTTGACAGCTTGGTCATGGGAATCAATGTTATGTGTCTAATGTACATCATTCTGCATATTGACGTTATTTTTAGGGCAAAGGTGGTGCTCGTAAATCCACAGACCACTCAACTGACAGTGTAAATGATGTAGACTACACCTGTGACTACAGCTTTTCAGAGAATCTGTCTGGTGAAGAAGGAAATGGCTGCTGTCTTCATGTACCACCCATCCCAGACACACCTGAACAGGTCCGCAATCAGGTGAGTCATATTTGCTGCTGTCATATAGGCTGTTCTGGGTGTTCAGATAGTAGAGCGTGGGAGAAAAATTCCCGGTGTACAATTTAACTTGCTGCCCACCTTCTTACCGCCGCACTCTACTATCTGAATGCCTGGAACAGGCTAGCTGTCATACTGTTTGAGCTGTGTCTTACAGGAAAGAAAAATAGCAGTCAGGTACCTGAAAGAGTTAGTTTGTGTAGAAAAATGGTAAGTACAGGTGCATGTGTGAGAATACAATGGACGTCTCACTTTTCTGTTTCCTCTTCCATCTTGAGTGCCTGCCTTGCTAACCTGCATGGTAGGCTTTGAAAGGGGAATGGAAAGGGGTAATTTTTGGCGTGCAAGGAGAGGGAAATATCCCCCTCTTCACGTGCGCCTCGCGCTCTCGCGCTCCCAAATCCCCCCTCCCCCTCCAATGGAGGTCAAAAGAACTCGGGACAGCTGGATAAACCCGCCTACGTAATTGTTTACAGTGAAACCGGTTGTTCGTTTGCTCGCCACTTTGCAATATTGTCAGGCAATGTTGGTATTTTGATTGGCAGTTTGCTCCGAGCAAGTTTCGATTCAAATTTCAATTTGCTGCCTGAGCAAACGGTTTTTCATATTGGAATATTGTGAGTTGACTGTGATGGCAAGCAACATTACGTCTGTTTCAAAGAGGGAAAAAGTAATTTCCCTCCTGTCTTACAATATCGGATATTGTTGAGCGAGCGGGGAGATTAGCTGGAGTACATGTGGCGTTGGCAAGTAAGCCCTGCTGTATTTCAAAATTTCGTGTGCTTGGTTTAAAAACCTTGCAATACTCCAAAAATTCGACCACATTTGGAGTAGCGACTGTGCGTTCTTTCCATCCTGGTTTTCCCGGAGCCGCCGTCCCATTTTTCAGGAACTTTGAAAGGATATTGGAGACGGTTTGATGTAAAAGATGAAGCCTTGAGCATATTTCTTTATTTCGATAGCCTGACGACCAGAGGGAAATTACTTTTTCCCTCTTTGAAACAGAGGTAATGTTGCTTGCCATCGCAGTCAACTCACAATATTCCAATATGAAAAACCGTTTGCTCAGGCAGCACATTGAAATTTGAAGCGCAACTTGCTCGGAGCAAACTGCCAATCAAAATACCAACATTGCGTGACAATATTGCAAAGTGGCGCGCAAACGAACAACCGGTTTCACTGTAATAGGACTCTGTTCTTAATGACAATTAATTTTTTGACTAGCTTTATCGATAAAGTTTGTATATACCGGTATGCCGTCGGGTCCAGGTATATCCTTAGTTTAAATTTAATTTTCCTTGGTTTTGGGGTATCATTTCATTTGGTAATGTATTATTGTGACTGAAGACGGGCGTTGGTAATGTATATAATTCTGTGAAGAGAGTCCTTCACTACAAATAATACTTATTATTTCTTATTACATTTTTTTCTTTTCCCTTTATTCCAGAGAATCCGTGATGCAAGTGTTGCAATAATCAAAAGAGCACTTGCTATTTTGCAGTTGTTTGCAATAAGGTGAGGCTGAATTGAGGCTTCAAGGTCTGTTATCGTGTAAGTTACTGATCAGTGTTTGTGTTTTACATTTCGCTGATCAATGTTCTGTGTTTATGTTTTCAGTCAGTTTGGTTGTACTGGAAAACAGATACAAGACCAGATTATACAGAAAGCTACATCTGTTGCTATGCCTGGATACTTGTAAGTGACCCTTTTTTTGTCTTTTTTTTTTCCAGTTTGGAAACTCTACCTCATCGGCCCATGGTATCGGGTCATTTCGCCCGAAGGTCGATTCGCCCCATGACAGTTCGCCCAGACTTTTTGGTCAGATCGTTCCACAGTTTTAGTGTAAAACTCGATGTGAAGCGCGCCTTTTTTTTGGCTTATGGTTAAAGAGCGAGGTATACTCATGAGTAGCCCCCTTGTTTTTGCTCGTGGATTAAAGACTTGTGAAAAGTTCTGACTTTATTGTGGAACGATGTGGCTTTGAACTATCTAACCATGGAACGAAGTGACCGGATACCAGCCTCGCCCACACTAGTCTCCTTTAGGAGTTCAAGTCTAATTTTCCGACGTGCATCCCGCACAACCCCAAAGCAGTAATTGTGAACTAAAGGAACAAAATACAGAGATCAAAGTTTTGAGCTTATATTCACTTATTTTCCTTTCAGTGAGCACCTGGCTCAGCTTCAGCAAGCCGTCCTCAAAATAATCGATATAAAATCACGTGAGCCTCCAAGCGATAGTGAAGAGTCTCTCCAGTCTCCTAGGGACATAAAAAGAAGAGAGAGAATCCGCACTAGTTCTGTCTCTTCTGCTGACACCACTTTGTCAGAAAGCAGTGATAGGGTAAGCTTGTGTAGTCCTTTGTCTTGCAGAGGTGCTGTACTGTTCTAACTTTTGAGTCTAACATGTGTGTCCATTCAAATGAAACATCTTCAGCTGTACTTTAGTGCATGGCATTTAGGACCTGTTTATGAGAAGAAAAGTTGTCCCTGTTAGAAGGGTCACCTGCCTACCCGAGCTACCCCTGGACGAGCCAATTTTTCATACATTTCCTCACAAAACGCGGCAAACCGTTCATGAGAAACAAAAAGTTGGCTCACCTAGAAGGGTAACCCGCCTAGTCGGGTCACCCTTTTGTCAACTTTTGCCATGTAAACACTTCAGCTCGCCCAGCCGGGTTAACTCGGTCAAAACCAGACAATCAGAGCATGATCGAGCATTGTTGGCTCAGGCAAAGGGGTTAACTTTCTTTCTCATTATAAACGCTCGCAGAAGTTGGCTCGGCTAGGAGGGTGACCTTTCTATCCCGGACAGGTTTTCTCCATTTAAACGGGACCTTAGTTTGTAGATCTAACTTTTTGAGTCTGTGGGTGAAGATCTTATAGTGTGACTATTCAAATGAAAATTCTTCAGCTGTGCTTTTTCACGTAGTACTACGTATTTGGGATGTAGTTCTAAGAACCCGTCTTAACTGTATAATGTTTGTGCCTTTATTTTAAAGCGTGAGATACCGATACTTGTCCATTCCCATTCAATTTGAAAGCCTCTAAGAACTAATTCCTTGTATGTTGTGTTCAATTCAGTTTGATTACGCCAGAGATGCGGAGTTGGTGAATGTTGTTAGAAAGGACTTAGCAATGGCACTGAAGGCGCTCTTTCAGCATGGACTTGTTAGGGTGAGTGTAAAAGGTGAACAGCAAAGTTTCCAAGGCTTACACTGTCACAAACAGGCGAAGTCATTTGCAACAGGGTGTGACCTGTCCTATGAAAACATTATCCATTCAAGATAAAAATGGCAATTTTGCCAATCATGTAACCTAATTATAGAAAAAAATTCAGGCAGACATTTGTTCTAAATATGAATTTTACTTTCCATTGGATCATAGCCTACGACTCCTTGCTCTTCGCCGCTATGGACTTTTCGCGGGAGTGCCCCTAGTGGCGAGAAGCGAGGAGAAGCGGTTATATTCGCGGATTTACTGGATCAAGATAAACGTGAATTAGTTTTATTGTCGTTTATCCTTCGATTAGTCCTCTATCCAATGTTCTCTTCCCAGTACAGCTAACTGATAAACCTGTAAGCATGCTGAAAATGTGGTGAACCCAGTCGGTTATTGTATAAATCGTTTTAACTGTATTTGAATTCACGTGCACCGTAGGTAATGGATTGCATTCTGTTATTTATTTAGTCCGTAGACAACCGTATTATATCGTCCAAGTCACTTGTGGCGTGTATAGTTCCTACAACAAGAACGTCTCTTCCTAAACGAATGCATATCTGGGAATTGTTTAATGAATATTACGCAATGAAGGTCAGTATAGTGTAGCTCATACTTCACGTACAAGTCCTTTACTCCAAACTGTTCCCTAACTGAATAAAAATTCAACCTGGAAAATTTTCGATTTTTATGGTCGTGCTCATTTTCCAAAGTGTTCACTAGCGTTTCCGGGGTACCAGTTACCGAGTCACTGAACCTAGGACATGAACTATGAGTGACAGTGGCAAAACTCGAAAGTTAACAGGTTTACCGCAAGCTGCTGCTAATTCAAGCTATAAGCCGTGGACTTATACATCCTTGTAAGGGGCCGTTTTAGAAAGGATCGTAAACGGAGGGGCTTATAGCTGGTATAGAAAACCTGCTTCGGGCTATAGCAGTGCTTGTCAAACTACGTTTTGCTTTAACTGGGTTTTGAATTAAGCTTCAAAACGTTATACCAATAATGACTCGAATTCATTTCAATACATTTGGAGGGGGCTTATATCTGGGGAGCTTTTAATTAGGTCAAGTTTTTTTGTTTACAGATAGATGGGCCCATAACCCGGGGAGCAGGGTTATAAGTGGGGGGGGGGGGGGGGGCAGTTTACGGTGTATGTCAGTATTTTCTTTGGAAGTAAAATATCAAACTTAAGAATCTGGGAGTTTCGCAGACGTTCTTGCAAAAAAAAAATGAGGAAACCCGCTAAACAATACTAAGATTTCATCTCTGTAAAAGGATATGAATAAATCGTTGTTGTTATCGAATCTGATGTTTGCTTCTTTAGTGAGCTGTGGCAGCATAGTTGTTTGATTGTGTATTTTTGGTTTTAGCGCGGTGAAGAATTTAACTCTACTCCTGCCAGAAGGTTATCAGAGGCGTTTGGTATCGAGGTACACGGCAATAACGTAGTGACAGCCAAACAGGTAATGTTATTGATACGTGATATAACATGGCGTTTTGTAGATGATCGAGATTCAGAGAGTGAGGTTTTGCTCACACCATGCCGAATAGCTTTTGCGCCGACGCGGAACCATACAACGTGATGGGGCCGCTTCTGTTCACATAAGAAGGGTAATTTTAGTGCGATTTCTGTAACGGAGCAATGCTGCGCCGCGCCATTCTTGAAAGTGGATCATCACATATCGGATAGTTTTTTTTGCAGGGGTGGGGGGGAATAGTGATAACAGTTATCCAAGAATTCGGACCGTAGCAGAAGTAAATTGAGTAGGAGCGAAGGCTGGAACCCACTGAGACGGAAATAGCTATTTAGGAGTGAGGACTGGGATTTAGTTCCCCAAACGCTCTCGGCCAACCACTCGGGTACGATGCTCGTTGTGAGTGAACAACTTGTCGCAGTTCTGTACTGTTGCCCTTCACACTGTACTAGCCGGTTCCAGGCTCCGAGATAGCCGGGTCCGCGAAAATGAGAGAGACCACGCGCTTACATTTTCGCGTGCTTTACACTTACGCGTCATCCGCACTATCTGAGAGCCTGGCAGAGGCTAACACTGCACTGGATACATATGCATTTAGGCACGAAAAGTTATCCGTTATAGAAGGTGTAGACATAACCTGAAATCTCTTTTGCTTCATATGTCCAGAAATGCACGTGACTCTGACCTTGGGTACTTTATTTTAGACACAATTCTTTGTAATCTCATTACACTTAATGTTTTGCATGGTGATGTGAAACATCACGGAGTGTCTTCTAGTCCATTTCTTTACCAGATTTTTTTTAATGTTGCTTGTTTTCGTTTCCGGTGGCATTTTTTCCCCACGTGTAGTCACACTCGCCGTTGTCCCTCTCGTGGCCCCAGTTCCATGTTTTCCCGCGCTCGTTCTCAGTTGCGTGGTTTCGTGTGAGCGAAAATTGAGAAGAGAACAAATTGCTTTCGGGTGATAGTGTTAGGTATTATTTTAATTCAGACATTGGCTACTGGCTGACTATTATTTACAGTTCTATGATATCCTGTTCACAGACGTTGTTTTTTTATCGACAATTTAGTGAACCCAGAAACGGAACGAGCGCGAGAGAAAAATTGACGTCTATTTCCTCCTTTCCCCACCCCCAACTCTTTGCGCTTGCGGTCAATAAATGCATCACGGTTTTTATTTTCAGACGCGCGCTCGACTATCCCTAAGAACAAAATACAGGGTCAGTTGACAGGCCACTCTTTGAAGGTCAAAGTTATTTGCTCTATTTGACCTCTTTCGACTGACACCATATGACATCATTTTCGTTCCAGACCCTCTTGCGAACCCTACACAGAATAAAAACAACACACGAACCCTGCAAACGCAGTATGGATGCGATGGTAAATATGACACTTATTTACTGGTCTCTGTAAATCTGTAAAGTGAAAGGGAGTCTTGGAATTTCCTCAGCTTTACCGAATAAGCCTTGACATCTCGCCTTATTTTCTGTTATAAGGTTCACTTTCATGAATATCTTCCCATTTTGTTTTTCGCTGTTAATTTAATTAAGGGCAGTGAGCAGTTTGTACTGTTTGTTTGAGCGAGAGGAACTGTATTATTGTCATTAAAGCACCCAATTTGCTTGTCATTTTGTAGGAATTCTCAGTTTGCCAATGTACATTCGTTTAGAGACAATATGATTAAACTGAACAGAGTTCTTTCAGTTTCACACGTGTTCAGTGTTGCTTTAGCAAACTTCAATGCTGTTCTTGCAAACTAACAATGTATTATCTCCTTTCATTGTTTTATAGTTTAAATCTCTGGTTTGTGCTGGAATAAAGTAAGTTATCTTGTTACCTTTTACGTACCAGTACTTCTCATTACTGTTGGATGTAGTCTACGAAATAAGCTATACAGAACTACACTTAAGCTTAAGGACAACAGCTTTCTTCTTAATTACATTTGTGTGTAATGATTGTGCTTCTTTTGTTGTTGTTTCTTGAAGTCAAAAACGGCTGACGTATTGGTGCCGTCTCGTTACAAAGAGTTCTTCACTCATCGAAGAGCACTATCAATCGTGGTCATACGTTCTCAAAACAGGTTTGTCTTGTTATTTCTTTGTTGTGCCATTGAGCCTGCGAGAAAGCTCTCCTTTTGGGAGTCATCGCAAGCTGACACACGCGACCAGCACGCGAAAGGAGACACTCGCTCGCGCGTTCTCTCGCCAAACGAAATGAAGAGCTTTTTCATAGGCTCTGCGCCAGTAAAGTGTTAAACAGCAGCAGTTTCACTTTGCACATATTTGTTTTCTTTTTGCGTTGCTCACAACCCGAGAACACAAACGTTTACTTAACGTGCGTAGCTGGCGGTTTTTTGTGTTTCGTAAAGTAAGAGATACAGCGGCGCGAGAGCTGAACCGAAGTCGAAACAAAACGGTGGGGGAGAGGGCGGGGGGAGAAGGCAAAAATCTCATGCCTTCTCCCCTCGCCTCTTCCCCCGTCATTTCCTGTTTCGACCTCGGTTCAGCTTTCGTGCGGTTCTATCTCTTACTTTACGAAACACAACAGTAGAAGCACACCAAAAAACCGTCAGCTACGCGGGCTAACAAATACCCTTTATACTTCTTAATACTACCTTAATGCAAGTAAATACTGCCTTGTCTATTTTCTTAGGAATGAGCGAAGCCACAGAACACTTGGAACGATTAAACGAGTACAATTTTCATCTACCTGAAGACCTAGCCATCAGACATTTAACCAAGATTAGTGACGCCTTTGGTGAATCGTAATTAAAAAAGTGGGAAATAACTTAACTGTTGAAAATTTATGTTACAAATGAAAGAATGTTAAAGAATGAAATAATGGTAGCTTGCATTAAAATGTACGGTTAATCAATGTAAGATTCGAACAGAAATTGCAATAACAATGCAAATCACCTTGCAAGACTGCTTATTTATTTTTTTAAAATTCATTTCCAGCAAAAGAAAAATTAGCTGCATGCAGTATGTTGTGGTGAATGCAGAACCAGTTTCGTTTTTTTTATTTAGTATATGGATTGAGGTGCTAACATTTATTTGTTTCGTACCTGTCGATCCGTTTTTGGTCAGTCGAATAACCACCGTTCTAGGTGGATGTATTCATTTGCCAAAAAATGTTGAAGAGCATGCTGACAAAGTTTCTTACCACACCCTTTGAACATGTTTTTTTTCCTAAGCTTTTATAGTTCCGCATTATACTGAACCAATCGCAATTCACCATAGTTGTTTTGTGGGCCTGTGTCCTGCGGCTTCAAAGGAGAAGAAACGAAGCCTTTCAAATGCAAGGCGACTACACCTTCAAAAGATATCTTAAGTTTTAATTAGTTCTGCAATGGATGGCACCCATAAAAGTTGACCAAAATTTTCTAAGAAAAATTGTCCAATAGATGTCAAAACTTTGTCGAGTGGGAATCGCACGATCTGCTCCACAACTAGCGTGAATTATTATGTGAAGAGAAAGGTTAAAAACACATGTTTTTCCTTTGTGAAGCAATGAGCGACACAATGAAACGTTCATACGATGTAAGATTACTTTGTCAGATGTTAAATATATGACTAAAAACTTCTACACTGCATAAATGTAGACTCAATATGCCTCAAGGAAATACTGTAAAACGTTTATTTAAATATAATTTAAGTGATAGCATAAAGAATCGATATGATAATAACCCGGGAAATGTCAATAAAGAAACTTAAAATAACCCAGTTTTGGTTTCACTTGATTCTGAGAAGGCAGTTGCGGCAGGTCGGGTGCTGACTAGTCCCCAGTCGTCTCTCAGTCTACTCGGATAACTTGAATTCCCCACTCTAGCTTGTACACAGCCGTTGTTTTATTTTTCTTTTCGTTCTTTTCGAAAACATCGACGAGCGCGGAGCGTGAGAAAGCGCTGGCGGTTAATAAATCCCCCGCGGTGGTTATTTTTATCACGCGCGCTCGCCGGACTTTGAAGAGAAAATAGAGTAGTATGTGAACAGGCTGATCAAAATTTCACTGAAATTTACCCTGACTAGCGCGAACTGTTGTTCGTTTCCCTTCAGATTTCTAGTTACCGGGTTTCTGCTTTACAGTGGAACCTCTATTTAACAAACCTCTGTATAACAAAGTCCTCGGTATAACGAACGATTTTCTTCAACCCGGCTAAAATTCCGCTAAAATTACAATAAAACGTATGGAACAGAACCTCTATTGAAAGAAATCCTCCTTACAACGAACACAATCCAGAAACGCAAACGTAAAATATACCTTGACATAACGAAAACATGTCTACATGTGACCGAAACATAGCTAAAGAAGAATGCGAAACAGGCCAGCGCGGATGAAATTTATGTGTGCAGTAGTTTAAAGCAGTTTTCTTTGCCTGTTCTTGTGTTTCTAGTGCCGTAGCTATGTACTGCTCTGGCCGCGGTTGTTCAAACATTGGATAGCGTTATCCACAGGATAAAAATCTATCCAGTGGATAGCACAATTGGTTTCCCTAATACTTATCCGCTGGATAGTGATTTATCCGGTGGATAGAGCTATCCAATGTTTGAACAACCGGGGCCTGAACTATAGCTTCGTTTAGAAATGTTTATTATGAAAAAGATACGGAAATGTCGGGCATTAGAAAATAATCATCAACTATACCTCGATATAACGAACAATTTGCTTGTTTTCCCAAAAATTCGTTAAATCAACATTTTCGATATAACGAACAAATTTCTCCAGTCCCTTCGCACTTTGTTAAATTGAGGTTCCACTGTAATATGAAAGAGTTGTAAACCAAGAGAGGCGCAGTCAAGGGGAGCGCGAACTTCTCCGTTTCGTTTTTCTCCTTCCCATCACCCCTCGCACCCTCTTCGGTTACGCCTCTCGCGTTCCGTTCTCCGCGTGAGATCCAAAATACAGACGACTGGGGACGAGTCAAGATAGGGTGCAAAAAATTCAAGGGTCAGCATTAGATCCCATCGGCCGTAGCCCCTTTCTCCCCTTATGAAATTTACACAAGGTAGAGCTGTTTTCTGCTTTTATATCGATATTTCAAGCTGGAGATGTTCATGAAAGTGCAAGTAGCCTGCGAAAACATCCGTTTCTCCTCGCTCTTCGTCGCTGGGGACGTTTCGCGCGGAAGTTCCTCCGCGCGAAACGTCCCCAGCGGCGAAGAGCGAGGAGAAACGAATGTTTTCGAAGGCTAAAGTGCAAGCCTCTTCAATTTGAAAGAAAAAAAATGGATACGAAGAGCGACAGACTCGTACCCAGTCGCTATTTATGTGTTTTGGGCGCCGTGAGAGAAGATTGGGGATTAGGTTGAGGTGCGCGCGGGGATCCCCAATCTTCTCTCATCCCAAAAAACACTTAAATAGCGACTGAATACGAGTCTGGCTAACAACTAGACCACTGCGAATTTGATGGATACAGGGGAAATAATTTAAGTACATAGAGCATCAATTCTAATGTCCCAAAACAGAACCTGACGAGTTTCGAAGCAGTCATAACCCTAATCCGTAAAGGGCAGTGCGTTAACCCTAACCCTAATACATAACGAGGAAAACTACGTTGTGTAAATTTTATGAGGTGCCAGAAGGGGCTACGGTCGTTGGGATCTAATAGGGACCGATTTTAAGATTGTGCCTCTCAAGACTGGGTCGAAGTTGTGTCGAATTGCACCATGGGAATGCTCTGGGGACGCTATCGCTCAGTTTAAAATTTCATTTGCTGTTATCGAATATGGCGTAGGAGACTGGGTCAAAATACGTTCCTGATTCAGTCCCATGTTTCATAGTGCGATAGGCCATTTCCGAGTTCCCCCGGGCCTCTGTTTCAAAACGAGGGTAGGTGCTCAGCCTTCGATATGGAAATGGTTTTTTCATTCTCATTCAAATAAAACTCATTTTCACAAGAAAGGTTGTGCACCTAGCCTCATTTAGAAAGTGAGGGTTTTTGGAACTCGGAAGTGGCCTATTGGACGCATCACCGACCCAGTCTCTAGCGCAACCTCAATGGCAAACAGGCCATTTCCGAGGTGCCCTAAGCCTCTGTTTCAAAGTGAGGCTAAGTGCGAAGCCACTGATATTAAAATGATTTTTTTTATTCTCATGCAAATAAAACTCATTTTCACAAGAAAGGTTTTGCATTTAGCCTTGCTTTGAAAGCAAGAGTTTTTGGAACTCGGAAATGGCCAATTGAGTATTCAAATTTTCTTTGGCCCATGCTTGTGACATGATGACCATGTTCACCGTGTGCCTTGATCAAGAAAACATCGCTCTCTGAATCAAACTAACTTATTCAGCAGCTATATTTTGAATGGATTTGTACAACCACATTAATTTTTTCACTGTTTTTCAAGGTGCCTTCTGACTTTCATTACGGTACATGTGTGCTTTGTACCATTATATCGTTATTCCGCTAGATACAAATTTAACCTGACTCTGCTGACTTTGAAGTTTGGGGGAAAATAGGGAGAAAGAAATGTAATCTATCTCTTTAATCACGTTTCACTCCATACGGTCTATCCGCTGCATAGCTGAGCAACAGGAGTTTCAAACTCCTTCCGTCTAAGTTTACTTTCGAACGTGAATGGCGATTACAAAATGGAGAAGGTAATGAAAGAAATTTTGGATACAAAGATTTAACAACGTTTTTGAGCTCGCTGGATGATACCGTTGTTGTTGTTAAATGGATCCCCCTTAACGGCACGAAAATTTAGACGTCTAGCCTTTCAAAGTTCCTTGTGAACAAAATTATGGAACGGTCCCTTGTGAACGAATCGAAGTGTCCAGTCAAATTTTTCAGCGGGCCGAAAATTTCGTCTGGTGCTGTGTTAACGTAGCTTTAGTGATCGTTCCTGGAACGTAGCTGGCTTGATGTTCCTCCGAGTTCGTACTGAAGGTCGTTTGTTAGTTAGAGCGGTTTTCACTTGACTGTCGAAAGGGATTGGTTTTGGTTTTGGTTTTGGTTTTACTACGCCCTTTGGTTGGCTAGTGTATTTACTTTGGTTTTGGTTTTACGACAGTCAAGTGAAAACCGCTCTAAGAAAAAAATAGTTAAAGAAAATATGACTTGTACTGAACATTTATTGATAAATTACACATTTTTAAGAGATAAATTCATGGCTCGACAGGATTTTCCAACCACTGACTTTCTTGAAATCTCAGCACTCTGCCTATACGGCATTTCAAGCTCCTTAACTTTAACTTTGATAAAAAGAAATAAAACGGCAAGTGAAACAAACGGAAGCAAATAAAAATATAGTAATGAAGGTCAGAAAAGCTATTAGAATGACGTTTGACTCAAACAACAATTCAATAATGGTGTTAACACTACACCTGTCATATGGCTAAAACCTCTACAATTTCACGATAAAATCAAAATTTTTCGAACTTCGCGGATATAGAACAAAGATCACCTTTTAATTATGGATCGTTTCTTTTCTTCTTCATTTGCCATGGACATTTGTACTTCGTCCAGTTACGTAGTTTTCCAGATACGTTGTTGATGTTAACACACCAAAGCCAACGGACCCAGACATCAGGCGCGGATCATGTTTTTCGGCAGTAGTACCAGAGTCATCGGAGTCAGAAGCGCTGCTGTTTGAAGAAACAAGACTCGTATCACTAGTTCGAGTCGGTGCCAGTGCGATGCTCTGGACTGAGCAAAGATTTTTGGAGCAGTGGTTGTTGGGAGACGAGTTTTCGATGCTATTGCTGGTCTGGGAGCGAGCACTAACTAGCTCAATGGGCGATGTCAGTTCACCTTTGCTTGTTTGTCCCCTTAGTGACAAAAGGGGAGATTTTGGATCACAGCTCTTTCTGTCCATCACGCTGATCTTTTTGAAATCATCCTGCACCACACTAGATGCTAACCACTTGAACTGAGGCAGGTTTGACGAACATTTTGTCTTGCGTTTTGTCTGACTCATTTTCGGCCGATCTCTGTTATCACTCTCGCATTCCTTGTTTGAGCTCTGATGACTGTGATTACCTTTTCGGTCGTTTTGGACCGTTTTCTGTATGTTCGCGGCCAATTTTCCCTCCGCCTTGTTTGTATTTTTGCTTTGGGTCTTTTTTGAAAGCTTTTGGTTATGCTGAACCACTGCCTTCGAGTTAATGGATCCCATTTTGCTCGTTACAATCAAACAACAACCGTGCTTTTCGCTGGCGGATAAATCAAGGAATGACAGAATCTTAACCAAGACCGCAATCGCCAAGATTATTAGTTGTTCATTGGCAGTCGCTGATTTTCAAAGATCAATGATGCAAATTTAATTTAATCGCACAAAGGCGCAACCATGAATTGGCTTTGAGGAAGTCAATAATGCGTAGCTTGGGAGCTTGTTATCAGCAATTCAGCATATACCTCTTTCACTACATGTCCAAATTCCAGTTCGTAGCCCGTAAGTTTCATTTTAACAGTTATAGATAAAGTACAGTTTTTGAACTGAATGCTTAGGTCCTCTTTGTTGAAAAAAAAAAAAACGGAAAATATTTTATCTCGTATGGAAAGAGAAGTCGCGTTCGATTGGCCAATCTGAGATGCTTTAAATCGGGTGACGTCAGAGGGTGTTTTGATTTACGTGAACAAACAAACAAATGATTGGAAGCTTGTTTCTGTATCAGGAATTCAGCACATACCTCTTTCATTATACACATCCAAATTCCAGTTCGTAGGCCGTAAGTTTCATATGGCTAAAGCACAGTTTTTGAACAACTGAATGCTTAGGTTTT